CTGGAAAGTGTGAGAGCCACTTCCTCACCTCCAGCAAGACGACCCTCTGTGTCACAATGCTTTCATAGTTTACATTGTCTTGTCTCTTGAACAGGTGCAGCTTTATTTTGCTGTAACCGTATCGTGGAAACGCTCTGGCCTCATTAGTCGGCCAGCGGTTCCTGTCATTGCACACATGTGGTTTGCATCGCTGGGGCTCAGTGCTGAGTGCGAGGCTCTCCAAGTCCCGGCTTGCTAGGCGGCTCTTGTGCTCCCAAGGCTGCTCACTTCTCACAATATTCACAGGTAGAATGCAATGGGCCGAGGCTGCTCACCTCTCACAATATTCACAGGTAGAATGCAATGGGCCGAGGCTGCTCACCTCTCACAATATTCACAGGTAGAGTGCAATGGGCACCCTTTCTTCTTCTGTCCCTCAAAGTCAGATTCCCAGGATCCTTGTTTTCACAGCAAGCACTTCACCCAGTCATCTCCCCAGCCCTGACCCTGAACTTTGGATTCTCCTGCCTCTGCTTCCAAAGTGCACTGCAGGTGCCCGCCACTCCATCCTGTCCCTCTCCCAGTGGGTCATTAGAGATTTGGTGTCAGCCGAGAGCATTGTTTCTTTTGGAAAAGGAATTATTGGCGAATACACTGGAGGCTCCTCCTGGGGCTGTCAGAGCTCTGTTCTTGCAGTATCACCTCAGTGGGGTTAGGTTTATTTTAGTAATTTTCATTTGTGTGTGGGAGGGGCGGCTGCAGGTGGTTATGGTGATCAGAAGAGGGTTTCCATCCCATGAAACTGGGAGTTCTGGGTGGCTGTGAGCTGCCTAATGTGGGTGCTAGGAATTGAACAGAAGGCTCTTAACCTGTAAGCCATTTCTGGCCACATAGGTTCATGCTGGAGGCAGAACAAGGCGCCCACTGTTATTGGTGTATGTCCTAGCAACTTGGAGACTCACAGGACGCATCTCACCCAAACACCCCTTCAAATGCATCAGGCCTTCCCAGATGTGTATATTTACCCGCTGTTATCTGCCCACACTGCCCCAAGCCCGAGACTCTGTCACCTCGCCCCAGCCTTCCTAGCACTCATTTCGCTTACCCTGTCCATATTAGCTATGACTCAAAGGTGTTCCCCGAGTTCCCACTGGAAACCTAGCAGCGGCTTAACTGACTTGCAGCGTGAGGAGGTGGGACCTCACGGATCCCATTCATCATTGGGAGGAGTTGCGATAGTGGGGGTGCTGGGGACCTTCTGTTTGAAGGGTTGGACTCTTATCTGAGTTCTTCCTGAACGGCTCAAAGCCATCACAACACTTGGTTATGAGAGGACTTGGCAAACCAAGAGGTCTCATGACTGGGAATTGCTTGGGCAGATGGTTCCTCCAAACAACTCCAGATAAGAGGTTTTGGTACATGGAAACTGACTTGCTCAGAGATGTAAATTGTGCAACAATAAAAAGCAACAGCAGCCGGGCGTTGGTGGCGCTCGCCTTTAATCCCAGCACTCGGGAGGCAGAGGCAGGCGGATCTCTGTGAGTTCGAGGCCAGCCTGGACTACAAAGTGAGTTCCAGGACAGCCTCCAAAGCCACAGAGAAACCCTGTCTCGAAAAACCAAAAAAAAAAAAAAAAAAAAAAAAAAAGCAACAGCAGCAGTCAGTTCACAAGAAGCTGGCCCCCTGGCTGCTCTAAGCCAAAATTCATTATGGAGTGACCCTAATTCTCTCACAGACCTGGGCAAAACACAACAATGACAAGGTGCCGCCGAAGAACTGGGAGACATCCTCTCAGGTACCAAGTTTTTACAAACCTTGATTCTGGTCTTCCAGCCACCAGCACTGTAGGGAACTAACTGTTGTGTGGATTCTGGTCTTCCAGCCACCAGCACTGTAGGGAACTAACTGTTCTGTGTATGAACTAAGTTTATGGTTGTTTGTTAGAGTAGCCAGAACAGGACCTATTCACTCTCCACAGCCCATCCCCCGTTCTTTCCTCTGAATCACACAATCCCCGTCTGAGAGCAGGAACTGCCTGACCAGCAGCTGATCAAATGTGTAACCAGGATGAGTGGGAATGCCAACACTTAGATCAAAACTTCAGTCAGAGAAACAAGGCCCCCCTTCTCACACACACACACACACACACACACACACACACGCACACACACGCACAGACACAGGCACTCACATAGACACTCACACACACACACACACACACTTTTTTTTGTTTTTTTGTTTTTCAAGACAGGGTTTCTCTGTATTGCTTTGGAGGCTGTCCTGGAACTCGCTCTGTAGACCAGGCTGGCCTCGAACTCACAGAGAACGCCTGCCTCTGCCTCCCGAGTGCTGGGATTAAAGGTGTGTGCCACCACCGCCCGGCGACTGAGCCCTTCTTAAAGTATCTTTTTTCATATTGTGTATTCATGCGTGCCTGTGATTGGGTATGTGCACACAAGTACAACTGCCCTCAGAAGCCAGAAGGTGGCGTTTGATCCTCTAGGGCAGGCGTTACAGGTGGTTGTGAGCACCAGACGTGGGTGCTGGAGGCTGACCTTGAGTCTTTCTCAAGAGCATCTTTCCCGTAACTGCACCCTTACCCCACGATGTGCCCTGCTGCCTTCAGTACTCTGAGTACACTTGGGTTTTTTGTTTGCGTTTTTTGAGACAGGGTTTCTCTGTGTAGTCCCAAATGTTGTGGAACTCACTCTGTAAACCAGGCTGGCCCTGAACTTGAGATCCACCTCCTGAATGCTGGGACTAAAGGTGTGCACTGCCGCTGCCACCACCTGGCTACCTATACTCTTTGTAATCCGCCTGTCAATTTCTTTGACTACTAGTTCCAGAGGGCAGAGATCACATGCAGGAAGTTAAACACTGCTTGAAAGAAAATACTCAACATCATGGCCAAAGGGAAGCCAGGTTCCCATGTCAAATGCAGTCCCAGCCAGGGGACCCCCAAGGAGGGGAAAGCCTTAAAGAAGGGAAAAAAGGCTTGGCATAGGGCTGGAGAAAGGGCTCAGAGGTTAAAGAGCACTGGCTGCTCTTCCAGGGGTACTGAGTTCAATTCCCAACACCACACGGTGGCTAACAACCATCTATAATGAGATTTGGTGCCCTCTTCTGGCGGGCAGAACACTGTATAATAAATGAATGAATGAATGAATGGGCATGCCTTTAATCCCAGCACTTGGGAGACAGGTCTGGAACTACATAGTGAGACCTTGTCTCACTTTTAAAATTAAAAATAAGTGTACATAAAGCATCCCAAATGTGTTAAGTACTGATTGCCCACACCCATAGGATTCTCTTGTGTTTAATGTGATGGGGCTGCTCAGTGGGCAGAACGCAAAGCCTGATAAGGAGACACTAAGGAGGATTCTAGTGGTAAGGGTGTAAATAAACCAAGAGTTCCAAAAGGAGAGATTCTCGCCCTCTGGGCTCACTATTAATATGTGGTGGCCTCAGAATTTCCTGTGGCAGAAACAAGTATGGCACCCGTCAGCTGAGAAAACTCCTGTGACCAGGGCCGGTTTGTTTCTCATTGGGGACACCGGGAGAGGTGGGGCAAGGGCAGTCCTATCAGTGCCTGACATAATGACTACAGAGTGGAGTAGCCAACATTCCTGCAAACTGTCATAGTTTTCACCAGCAACGTCTTCCATGTATGCTGCTTCCATGTATGCTGCATCTCGATTTCCTAACTTCCCCTGCTGTTAGGAAAATATACTTGTGAATCCAGATATTTGCAGTCATTAATTCCATGGCAAACCTGGTGCTTTTATATGTAATAGTTTAAACAGAGGAAGATTATGGAAAGCAGTAGCATGTGAATATGAAATCCTCTGAGTTCCAAGTATGGAAGGTTATGAGAAAGTTTTAGCAATCTGCAATTAGAGAATTACTTTATGAATTTGTAAGTGGAAAAAAACCTAGAACAAAGCAGAGACGCAGGGGAAGAAAAAGGCCAGGTATTTAAAGAGTAAGGAGTTGAACAAAAACTGGAAAATTGGACAGCTTTAAAAGCCATGTATGAGCCGGGAAATGGTGGCGCAAGCCTTTAATCAGGCAGATCTCTGTGAGTTCCAGGACAGCCTCCACAGCCACAGAGAAACCCTGCCTTGAACAACCCCCCCACCCCGCAAAAAAAAAAGCCATGTATGATAGTGAACACTAACCACAATGAACAAGTTACTAGTTTTTTTTTCTTTTTGTTTTTCGTAACAGGGTTTCTCTGTGTAACATCTCTGGCTGTCCTGGAACTCAGTTTATGGACCAGGCTGGCCTCAAACTCAGAGATCCTTCTGCACTGCTTCCCAAGTGCTGGGACTAAAGGCATTTGTCACCACGCCCAGCTTAATTTTCATCTTTAATATAAAAGTGTACTTGTGCAATATAGTTAAGACACTCATCCATAGTTCATCACCAGTGAACACTTCCTATGTGTCAGGCATCAACTCTTAAGTGCTTGAAATTTATTTACTCCTTACCATAGCCCTGAGGGATGTGAATATTATACCCATTTTATAGATGAGAAAACAGAAGTATTGAGAAATGGTTATGACTTTCAGAAGGCTGACAACTGGCATTCAATTTAGGCAGACTGGATCCAAGGTCTACTGCGAAATCCTGATATTACATACACAGCTTTTCGGTGTGTGTGTGTGTGTGTGTGTGTGTGTGTGTGTGTGTGTGTGTGTGTGTGTGTGTGTGTGTTTTCAAGACAGGGTTTCTTTGTGTAGTCCTGACTGTCCTGGAACTTACTTTGTAGACCAGCCTGGCCTTGAACTCACAGAGATTCCCCCTGCCTTAGCTTCCGAAGTGCTATGATTAAAGGTGTACACCACCACTGCCCAGCTTCTTAATTTTTCTGTTTTGTGTAAATCAGCAGTTGAAACCTGTGGGTTTCAACCCCTTTGGGTGTCAGATGACCCATTCACAGGGGTTGCCTAAGACCACCAGAAAACAGACATCTACATGAGGAACTGTATTAAAGGTTCTAAATGAAATGACTTTGTAAATGCTGTTTCATCCATTTTATTAGGACTTGCTGGGAGAGGAGGTTTGCAACGTGTTGGTTTCAATGGCTGACTTCATATGAATGCCTTCACATGTATGGGACTCTGCCGTCGCTAAGTGGCTCTGGGCAATGCTACTTGTTACTTTACAAGTGTGCAGTTGCTGATGTTTGCTAAGAGCAGAAGAGCTGTGAAAGACATTGTGACAATCTTGACAATGTGGTTTCTCCTGGGTGTGAATTCTCTGGTGCTGACTGAGATGTGTGCTTAAGCCAAAGGCTTTACCACACACATCACAGGTATAAGGCTTTTCTCCACTGTGAATCCTCTCATGCTTCTTTTGATTTGCTTTCTGGGAAAAGGCTTTCCCACATTTGCTACATGTGTACGGCTTCTCACCAGTGTGAACTCTACGGTGAAGGGTTAGGCAGGAGCTCTGGCTGAAGGCTTTGCCACATTCCTGACAAACGTAAGGCTTTTCCCCAGTGTGAATTCTCTGGTGTCGGATGAGTTGGGCACCCAAGATGAAGGCTTTCCCACAGTCACCACATTTGAAGGGCTTCTCCCCTGTGTGAGTTTTCTCATGCTTAGAGAGGCTTGAGTTCTGACGAAATGTTTTCCCACACACACTACACTCTAAGTGTTGCTTTTCAGTGTGAATTCTCTGGTGCTGAATAAGGTAGTTACTCTGCTTAAAGGCTCTGTCACATCCACTACATTTAAAGGGTTTCTCCCCAGTGTGAGTTAGCTGATGTCTTAAAAGCTGGGCACTCTGATTAAAGGTCCTGTTGCAGCTGTTACATTTAAAGGGCTGGTGCTCACTGACAGAGGTGTTATGCGTGGGTTCCTTGGGGTCAGTGCACTCTTCTGGCTCTGCCCCAGCATGGATGCTCTGATGGCAAGGGAGCTGCATACTCTGGCTGAAGGCTCTCACACATGGGTTACACTCAGAGGCTGTGACCTCGGTGTGGCTCTTATGCTGCCCTACATATCTGTTGTGGTTGAAGGCTTTTTCACACTTGTTATATTTAAAGCATTTCTCGGTATGCCTTGAGTTCTGACCCAAAACCTCGCTTACGTTTTCCTTGGTGTGGACGCTCAGGTGGCAGTTTAGAGTTGAGCTGCAAATGAAGTGTTCTCCACACTGCTGGCATTCATACAGGGGCTCAATGGTGTGAGCTTTATGGTGCTGCGCTAGTTCTTCTGTGTGGCTGAAGGTGCTCTTGCACTTAGTGCAGCCGAAGGGCTTTTCTGTGGCATGAGTCAGCTGGTGTCGGAGCAAGCGGGAGGGACGGCTGAAGCTCCTGTCGCAGTGCGGACACGGGTAGGGTCTGTAGCCTGAGTGGATTCGCTGGTGCTCATGGAGGTGTGCGCTGCGGCAGAAGGCTTTCCCACACTCAAGGCATTTGTGAGGTTTCTCTCCGCTGTGAGCCCTCTGGTGGATCTTCAGGGTGGAGGAGTGGCTGAAGGCTTTCCCACACTCTCTACACTTGTATGGCTTCTCCCCCGTATGAACAGCCTGGTGCTCAATGAGTGATGACCTCTGATTAAAGATCTTTTTACACTCGTGACACTCAAAGACAGTTTTTACAAAATGCGTTTTTCGATGTTGGATGAAATGTTTCTTTATGTGGAAGACTTCAGGGCAGGTAGCACATTCATAGAGTTTCTGAATATGGACTTTCTGGTGTCCAGCTAGATGAAAGGCCTGGCTGAATGTTTTCCCACATTTCTTACATCTGTATAACTTAGTGTTTGTAGATTGCTGATGCTTGATAGGCCGTGGACGAAGAACGAATGGACTGTCACCACACTGACTCTTATGCAGTTTCTTTTGGTTACTACCATTACTAGTAGGTGGTTTTTCTTGGTCCCAATTTTGAATTTTACACCATTCTGCGGAGTTAGAATCTTTACTCTGCAGCAGCTTTTGTGGCTCACCATTTTGACTCTTGGATGGCTTTTCTAGGTTATCACATTGAGTTTTACACAGGCTTTCTCCAGTGTGAACCTTCTGATGCCACTGGAGGTACATATTCTGACTAAACCTTTTCCCACATTCTTGACACACGTAGGGTTTGTAGCTTGTTTGAGTCGGTGGACGCATGAGAAAGAAAGCCCCCTTGCTGAGCTCAGTCTCCTTCTCTTGCCATGAAGGGGCATTATCCCTCACATGGATAATCCAGTGCTGGAGGAGGTGGTAACTCTGACTGAAGCTTTTCCCACACTCGCTACACTTAAGTAGCTTCTCTTCTCCCTGGACAGAGTCCTTCTGGCTCTGTTCTAGGTAACAGCTGAAGTCACTCCTGGATTCCTTCAGTGTCACTGGCAGAACATCAGACATCCCAGCATCCTCTCCTGTGGAAAAGAGAGGCCCAGGACTGAGGCTGCTCTCAAATTCATGACTCTTGCAATCTGTGGGGCTTTCCTTGTTGGTAATGTCAGATCTTGGAAGATTTTCTGGATCTCCAAGCAAACTATCTAACCAGTTCTCATCTATACAGGCTTCAAAGTTCAGTTCCTCAGACAATGTCTCCATAATCTGAGAGAGGCCTTCTTCCAAGAAGGCCTGCTGTAAAGGAGAACTCTTGGTCTCAGTCACTTCTGTAAGAAAGAGAGAGAGTGTAAAATTCCTTCTGTTCCCTGGGTCAGTGGGACAACCATGCTGTGGGCTAAAAACAGACAGGAGAAAGGGCTGGATTCTAGCCTGTCAATGGTGTCCCATCTGGAAATGGCAGAAAGTAAGAAATGGAAAGCTCAGAATGGTCACACAGGGAAGCTGAGGCCTGTAAGGATTCAGCAGAGAAGGAAAGCCTTGGCCATGATCATCATCATGGAACTGAGTTCACTAAAACATCTTACAGGCATGTCTCCTCCCTCCTCCTCCCTCTATACCACACAGTATCAAAATGTTACTCAACATATCCTGGGGCCTTGACGACAGGAACATCTTCCACATCCATCCAGTCCTCCACCCTAGAACCCTGGGCCAACTCTTACCCAGGCTGAGGCACTAATTTCTTTCAGACCACCTAGGAAATATCTCACCCCTCTTCTTTTCCTGTCTCTATCATCATCAACTAAAAATGTGGCCCCAGGTTCCTTGTTGGCCTCCCACCTCTTAGGGGAGGCTGCATAATAAAGAGCTAACTACCCACCCTGACCACACCCATTTTCACTGCTCTCTCCACAATGCTGTTGTCCCCTCTCCCAAATCCTGTACCATTGTCACCTTCTTCCAAACCTTCTACCGTCTGGTGGCTCCCCATCCACTGAGCACCTCAGAGGCTGCTCAGTGTCTCTTGGCCTGGGCATGACCTTTACAAACAACAGCTTTCAAAGCCATGTCTTGTCCTTGTGGTCATGTTGCTCTCAGCCCACACTGCTGTCTTGCTTCCTCTTCACCAGATCTTTGTTCATATTGTCCCTCCTGCATAGAGCACACCAACAAGGATCAGGCCCCTCTCATGCTATGAATGATAAGGGGTCCTGGGAAAAAGGTCGGTCAGCTAAGGGCTTCAGGGAAAGGCACAGCGGTAAGGAAGCACAGGTGTTAATACTGGAGACTTGCACCATGTGCATGTTTGGCTGGCTATGCTTGGAGATAGCCTATATGATGAATGAGAAAAAATGGAACTCAGAGCTGAGGAGCACGCACCCAGGATGTTTACCATCAGGGAGCACCAGCACAAGCAGGAGGCTGCAGAGAGCTCACATTAATGACCTCGCAGGTGGCAGTAACCAAGGAACAGGGCTGTGGATTGTCCACATGGATGGAGCTAGACCTGTGGTCTCTAGTTCTGAGTCTTCCTCATGGTGACAGAAGATACTGCATGAAGGCTCTGTTGTCTTGGTATTTTCCCCGGGCTCTTTCTTCCATTGCAAACCGTCCCATCAGGGCCATCACACAGTATAGGAGCTGCCTGGCACTGGAAATGCTAGAGCAGCTATGCCTGGCAACATTAAGCCATGATCTTGACTTACTCCCAAACACGGCTGTGCCTGAGTCAGGAAGAAGGAAGAGGAGATAACCCAGAAGCCATAAGGCATGGGGGTGCACAAACTGACTTGGGAATAGAAAGCATCCCCTTGTGGAGGCTTGAAGTAAAAAGGCCCTGGAGAGGCACCAGGATGCCTGTTCTGAATGCAAAAGAAGAGACACAACAGGCATGCCACAGTGAGGTCCCCTCTAACATGGACAGAGGGCATCAAGATGAACAGACATGCCAGGGGCTGGGCAGGATCTCAGAGTCAGATAATGGAGGGTGCATGCCTCTCACTCACCAGTATCAGTGGCTTCCAGGCCCCCTCCTCTGACTGTAGCTTCCAGCTCTTCCCTGATATCTGGTTGGGAAACCAGGCTGGGTTTTGGAGGGTCTGCAGAGAAAGAACAATCCTGTCATCAGTGAGGATATGGAGGACATCCAGATGTTCAACAGGAACTTTCTGGCTTGAAGGTCATTCAGATCTGTGTAGGAGTCAAGGTCAATGCACTTCTTACTCTGGGCTGCAGCTTAAGAACTGAAAGACACTGATAAGCGTGGGAGCATCCTGCCACTGAGCTATACCTGGTCTAGCTCTAGAGTGCTAGCACCTAGCCCTAACCCATCCTTTTTTAGCAGATACGTTTTGTTTCTCTTGTTACCCTATATGTGAATCTTGCCTGAGTTTCCCAAGAATGCAAAGCCTATACAAAGCTTGGTTGGGGGGCAACCCAGAAAACCAGTACCTGCTGAATTGAGAATTTGCACTTGGCATTGTCCATTTGGAAGCTCCCTCAGGATGTTTTGAAGTGTAATTGGAGAACAATAAAAGAAGCCCTGGGCTAAGGGAGAGCAGTTGAGTCCTTATAGGCTGGATCCACTCTGTAGCCTAGAAAGGCTGAAGTCATTCTTAAGGTGCCTCTGAGTTTTATTTCCTTGGACCTTCGTGAACCCAACACCCGCTCCTCGACAGATGTAAGAGCTTCTGAGGTGCTTCGGTAGCGGCACACCAGGTGTCAGGTGAGAACAGCTGCCCCAGCATCATAAAAAATAAGGGAGAGGGGTCCCAGTGCATGCTGTCTTTTACATTTTTTTTTATTGAGATAAAAGTTCTCTGGTGTTTCTTGGAAACTGAATGACTAATTAGAGGAGATGAAATGAGGAAGGGTTGGTAGCAGTAGGGAGCTGGTGCTGGATGGAGGCCATGCAGATGTGCATTGGGGTAGACGCCTTCTGCCTTCCTACCAGCAGGCTGCTACACAGGAAGTGGATTTGGCAGTCTTGGCTGCTCCACGAGAGTCACGCTGGCACAAGTGAATTGGGAATGATCCTGTATTTTACACTGAAGACCTGCTTTCCTTCTGAGACTCAGGAGGAATGACCCCATGAGCAAATTCCTTCTCACTTTCTGACTTAGTAGGACTCTACTGCTAAGATAAAAAAAACATGACCAAAAGCAACTTGGGAAGAGAAGGGTTTATAATTCTCAGGTCACACTCCATCACTGTTGACAAGTCAGGACAGGAACCTAACGGCAGGTGCTGATGCAGATGCCATGGAGAAATGCAGCTTACTGGCGTGCTCTCATGGCCTCATCCTGACTCCTTATAGTAGCCAGGACCATCAGCCCAGGAGTGACACCGCCAGTAATTAAGAAAATGCACCATAGATCGCCTGAAGGGCAACCTGGTAGGATCACTTCTCAGCTGAGGCTCCCTCTTCCCAATGACTCCATCTTGTGTCAAGTTGACAGACACTAGCCAGCTCTCTTGCCATCCATGTGACTTCACAGGGCTCTGACAACCTGTGATTTGCCCTACTATAGTGAGTTACAACTGTTGAGTTTGACCACAGGCTGAGACCTCCAAGTACTCCTAGTGAATCACTTACGCTGGGATGCTCCTGGGGAGCACAGCTGGGAGGACTTTTCCTCTCTGAAGTTGTTGCAGAAGACCTGGCAAAGAGGGGAATGACCAGGGAGCTGAGCGGGAGGTCTGCAGGCGCAGAAAGCATAGGGTAGGGCCTAAGCAGAGCGACTTCTATTGCAGAGGATTTGTTTGCACTGTGTAAGATGTGTTGCTGTGATTGGCCTAATAAAGAGCTGAGGGGCAACAGCTAGGTAGGAGAGAATAGGCAGGGCTTCTGACGAGAGAGGAACTCTGGGAAGAAGAGAGGTGGAGATACACAGAACGGCAGAATGTAGATGAAAAGAAACATGCTAATTTGAGTAATAAGAGCTAGTTGGGAAGAAGCCTAAGCTAAAGGCCAAGCTTTCATAGTAAGTCATTATTTGCCAGCTGGCAGCCAACAAGGTAGTCCAACCACAGACTTCCAAAGCTTACCAGTGCTCATCAGGCAACATCTAGTGAAAGAACAGATACCAGTCCCTATGCCATGGATGACACAGCAAGTAGTTAGACCATGCTGGAGCCACAAGAGAATCCAGGCTTAGTGGGATTGTGTTTTCTAATGGTGCTGAGCTGTCTGGGCAAAGGGGAGAGCAACACAGGACCCTGAACCACCTGCCCAAGGAAAGACACTGAGTTACAAGCAGGGAAGGGAAGGGTTAGGCAAGATGCCCGGCAGGGACCACAGCAGGTTCCTCAGGCTCAGCACTGTCGGCTCAGGGCAGGATAAGCCTGTTACAGGGCTCTGTCCTGTGCGCTGTGCATTAGGTGACAGCATCCTGTGGACCGGATCAAGATGACACTCACTGAGCAGGAAAAGGTCCTGGCAGTTGCTCAGTGTCAAGTCCCAGAATGGGTCTCTCTTATTCAGCTCCAGCTCCAGTTCTTCCCAGTCTTCCAGGGTGAAATCCATGGCAGTGTCCTTGAGGGTCACAAAGTCCTGAAATGAAGCACACTGCCTGTCATTCATCAGGCCTGACCAAGACAAGAATCACCCTGTCAGTAAAGATGTAGAGCCTTGGACAAGGGACAAAATGTCAAGTCACATAGGGAGAATGAAATCCACGTCTGCTGACCCCAAAATCTGTCTACTTCTTAGTTTAAGATTTTGTTGTTTTTTTGCCAGGTGGTGCACGCCTTTAATCCCAGCACTTGGGAGACAGAGGCAGGCGGATCTCTGTGAGTTCGAGGCCGGGCTGGTCTACAGAGCAGCCTCTAAAACAATACAGAGAAACCCTGTCTCGTAAAAACAAACAAACAAACAAAAAATCTCAAAGATTTTGTTGTTTTCGACACAGGGTTTCTCTGTGTAGCCTTGTCCCTGTCTCAAAAAACAACTCAAAATAAATAAAAAATACAGATCTGGAGCTCAGTGACTGAGAACATTTACTGCTCTTGAAGAGGAGCCATGTTTGGGTCCCAGCACCCACACAGTAGCTCAAAACTGTCAGGGTCAGAGCCCTTCTATCTGTGGGCACCAGATACACGTGGTACACATAAATACACACAGGCAAAATACAGAGAAAATGAAAATAAACCCTCAAAATTTATATAGAGCAGTGTTTCTTCAACATGTGGGTTGTGACCTCTCTAGAGGGTCAATCAATCCTTTCACAGGGATGCTTAAGACCATCAGGAAGATATTTACATACAAATCATAACAGTATCAAAACTAAAGTTATGAAGTAACAAAAATAATTCTATGGTTGGGGGTCACCACAACATGAACTGTATTAAAGGGTCGCAGTGTCAGGAAAACCAGTGCTACAGAGGTATTACTAGACGTTGTTTTTACAGAGGCCTGTGTACACATGTGGCCAAACAGGCATCCATCTGACTGTATTCTGCTCTTTTATGCTTTGTAACTTGCTTTTCTATTGCTGTGATAAAACATCATCACCAATATAACTTACAAAAACATTTAATTGGGTCTGCAGTTCCAAAGGATTAAGGTCCATGATGGTGGAGTGAATACATGTGGGCAGCAACAGCTGAGCGCTCACACATCTCAAACCCCAAGCAGGAGACAGAGAGCACACTGAGCCCTGACACACCTTCTTGAATAGGGCCACACCCTAATCCTTTCCAAATAGTTCCACTAACCTGAGAACATGTATTTCAACATGAGTCTGCAGGGACCATCTCATTCAAACCATCACCCTGACTACCTATATTTTGGATGTGACACTTCTTTCCTTTTGCTGTCCCTCTGCCCCAGGCATTTCCCGTAAAGTGGGAGACTGCAGCAGAAAGTCTGAAGTCAAGGCCATCTCGAGCTACATTGTGAGGTCCTGTCTCAAGGCATCTCTCCCTCCAAAGACTGTTTGCCAGTCACAGAGTGCTGCTTTTCCTTTGGGAGTGATTCGGTTCAGAAAAAGGGACTTCAACTTACCTCAGCCATGGTGGCCTGCTTCCAGGAACCTCTTTTAAGCTCCTCCTCCTTCCCCTCCTTGTTCCCAGCTAGCAGAGCTGCAGAGGAGCTGAGAGAAAGTCTCCCATCCTTCTATGGCTAATATCCTGTTCATGCTGGATGAGTCTCCAAAAATATTCCAAAATGAACCTGCTGTAAGGACCACCACGACAATTGTATTTACTGAAACTATGCCACCCCTAAATTTCCATCATGCTTCAGAACCTGCAGAGCAACTCCACAACCATTCCTAACACTTACTAGAGATATATTTTGGGATCTGACAAGAAATCTCTCCTTGGAATCCTTCCATTTTGCTTACTGCCCTGTCAGAAGCCTGTTAGACAGGGCATGTTTTTAAAGTATTTGTTGAAAGCTGGGCATGGAGTGCATGCCAGCCCTGCTCTAAGGAGGCTGAGGTGGGAGGACTTCTAGTTTAAGATCAGCCACAGATACATATCAAGACTATGTTTGAGCAGGGCATTGGTGGCGCACGCCTTTAATCCCAGCACTTGGGAGGCAGAGGCAGGCGGATCTCTGTGAGTTCGAGGCCAGCCTGGTCTACAGAGAGAGTTCCAGGACAGCCTCCAAAACAATACAGTGAAACCCTGTCTCAGAAAAAAAAAAAAAAGACTGTTTTTTGTTTGTTTTTTAAAGGGGGCTGGGCAGTGGTGGCGCATGCCTTTAATCCTAGCACTTTCAAGGCAGAGGTAGGCGGATCTCTGTGAGTTCTAGGCCAGCCTGGTCTACAAATCAAGTTTCAAGACAGCCAGGACAGTTACACAGAGAAACACTGTCTCAAAAACCAAAACCAAAAAGTGGGTTGTACATAGTAGCGCACACCTTTAACTCCAGCACTTGACAAATAGAAGCAGATCTCTCTGAGTTCAAGACCATCTTGGAAAGATAGATGGCTTACTGGACTGGGATTTGACTCCCACCTCCCAAGGGGTGGCTCAAAACCACCCAGGAGGTCAAATGCCTTCTTCTGGCCTTTGTGGGCATCAGGCACTGGTGGTGCACAGACAGACACACATGCAGGCAGAACTCAACACAGAAATCAATCTCAAAAATAAAAAACTAAAAAGGTGAAGAATCATTGGCAAAAACAGATTTAGCTGAATGGGTGGGAACAATGCTGGTGGATTTCTAATTATATTCTGTAGAATTTGAGGCAGGTGAATTAATTCTCCCACTCTATGTAGACAATTTCCATTTCTAAAATACCAATATTTTGGCAACTTATTTTTAAGCCATGACACTATATATTCAAACCATAGTATCAAAGACAATATATGTGTGTTTCTTTTGTGTGTATATGTATATACATAGGTTCTACAATCACAGATCCAATCAGATGCAGAAGATAATTTTTAAAAGTTCTGGATGTTTCCAACCTGTATAGATGTCATTATTCTTTAGCATAGTATAACAATTATTCGCATAGCGTTTACACTGTATAGGACTGCATGGGTTCCATACACTGTACTAGACTGGTTATGATGAAAAGGTTGAGGCAGAATGAACAGTTCGGGCCAGCCTGGGCCATCCCTTTTGGTAGTGGAAGGTGGGTATGACCACGGCACTGTATACATGTTTATTTTTATGTTTGCTTATGCCTGCATGGAAGCACCGTGTGCACACTTGGGGCCTTCGGCGGCCAGACGAGGGCGACCGACACCCTAAAACGGGAGCTGCAGATGTCTGCGAGCCACAACGCTGGTGTTGGGAATTGAACCTAGTTCTTTTGAAAGAGCGGCAGCAAGTAGTCTACCTCTTTCTGTTTGCTTTAGGGAATGATTTGTATTTCGTTTGTTTTAAAGGATACTGGGCTAGGAGCAATTGCTGCTCTTCAGGAAAGCGGGGGTTCGGCTCCCAGAACCCGCGTGGCCGTTCACACCTATGTCAACTCGTTCCGGGGATTCGACGCCCTCTCTGGCTTCCACGGTTCCTGCACGCAGGAACACACAACTCAGACACACGTGAATGTAATACAAGGTAAACCTTGTCAAACAGGTAGGAGACCCCCCTCAGGGCTGAGAGGAAACGCCACGTAGGAGCCCGGCCACATCAGGCTGCGGGCAAGCAAGGACTCAGTCCGCGAGCGCCAGGGTCTCCCGGGCCGCGCCGCACCCCGGCGTGGCTGACGGCACAGGGAAGAGGCGATTTCCTCCAGGGGTCCCAGGAAACCCAACGCCTCAGGCACGGGTCTCCCTCCGCGATTTCCGGTTCCTGCAGCAACGCCTCAGAGGAGCTTCCGGTGCCCGGACCCACCGCCTTCCGGACGCCGCCGGCTGAGAGCGCTGAGAAGTACAGTGGGAAGGCAGTCGGGACTAGTGTATGGCGGCTGGGCGGAGCACACCGTTACACCGCTACGTTCGCTTTTTGCCTCTCTGAGTACGAGGCGACGGCGAGCTGCCATGGAAACAGTTTGGGGCGGGGCTGAGCCCCTGAGTGACGCAAAGCAAGGGGAGGAGTTTGGAAATGATAGCGCAGCCTTTGATTGGTGGCTATCTCGTTCTTCATCGCGATTGGCTTCTGGTTGGCGCATGCGCACTAGGAGGAAACTCCAATAAACCGTAATAAGGTATTAATCCCTCTTCCGGTTACTCCTAGGTATCAAGGCCCGCTTGGGCTTCTGGGAAATGGAGTTCCTAGCAGGGAAATAGGGCGGGGCTGGGGGGGAGGAGACCGAGTTCAGGGAAGTTGGCAGCGCCTGCGCGCCGTTGTCAGGCCCAGCGGAAGATGCGCGCGCAGCACCTTCCTTCCAGGAAGTTTTTGCTGGGCAACTGGAAGGTGAGTCCAAGTTACCGCTCCGGATCAGAGCGAGAGTCCGGGCCGTGGGAAGCCCCGGAGCCTACGCCTTTTTCTAAAGTACCGTGGTGAGGGGCCGCTGGGTCGGGGAGCCTGTGACATCACCTGGGTGGTGGAGGCCGACCGAGGCTGGGGTTTCGGGAGGGGACCCCCCTACACGTACTATGCCGCCCGTGAGGCGGGACTTGCAGCCACGTTGGGCGGAGCCTGTGATTAATGACAGATGCCCCGCCTCCGCGGTCCTGACTTGGGTGGTTTATGTTTGATTGTTGGGCCTAAGTCCAGCGTTTGTTACCTAGGCAACTGTTAGTCCCGCACATGTGGAAGAGTCTCTGGTGTGCTGCGTTCTAGGAACGGGAGCGTAGTCGAGGGTACCAAGCTGATGTTAATAAGTAGGATAAGTTAAATGGATGGATGCATAATAAAGGCAGACTTGAGTATCAGCCTGAATCACTGGCTGTGCAATTGTTGACATGGGACCTCAGCACTCTTGAGTCCCCCTAGTTTTTCCACCCACACTACTGAGCACTATGTAAAGATCTGTGCCAAAGGTGCTTATGTAATTATGCACATGAATTGTCACCTTCCTGAGGGGTAGCTCTAAACTCTAACTGTAGGGACACTTAACAGTGGCACATACCTAGAATCCTACCATTCGGGAGGTCAAGTCAAGAGGACTTTGGAGATTAGTGAGCTCCAGGACAGCCCAGCATGGACTACAGCATGACACCCTGTCTCAGTAAATAAAACTGCATATGGTGGTGGGTGCTCATAAGCTCAGCACGTTGGAGGTGAAGACTGGAGGGTCAAAAGTTCAAGGTCAGCCTGGGATATCTTTTCAAACCTTGCCTAAAGACTGAAGAGTTGGCTCAGTGTTTGAGCGCTGACTGCTCTTCCAGAAGACCCAAACTGGTTTCCAAACTGTGACTCCAGTTCCAGGGGATCGGTGCATGTGACCTTCAGAGATGCTTGCATTCACGCGCGCTCATGTCACACACATACACACACAATTTTAAATCATAAAGATAAATATTCCTAAGTCCTGCATATCTAGTCTGCATTCTACCGTGGTTGGGATGCACACAGAAAGTTAAGCTAATTGGACAGTATGCCTCTGTGGTACCTTATCCAGACTCTGGGAAATGAAAGGCTCTCCCTGCTTGCAGTTCATGTGGTGGCCCGTGCTGGCCTGCTGACAGGTCACAAACAGAACTGTGGCTGTCATCGTTAGAGATGGCCCTGCACTAGTCTTGGGCTCTGCGTGTGTACTTGCAGGTTCCCAGATAGGCCCGAAGAGGCTGTCAGAGATCTTGGAGCTGGAGTTTAAGTTAAAGTGATTGTGAGACATCCATCAGACTTGGGTGATGGAGACTTGTTACAGAGTATTGGTTTTAACTATGAAAAGTTGTGTTGCATTTGTTTAAATATGTAAAGATGTGTTGCTGTTTTGCCTTGCCTAACTAAGGTACCTGATTGGTCTGATAAAAAGATGAACAGCCAATAGGAAGGGAGGAGGTATAGGTGGGATTTAGTAGGAAGAGAAATTTAGGCTTGGGGGAGGAAAGAAATGCCAGGGGTCAGACAGACAGACACAGAGAAAGCAGGAAAGTAGGACATACAGAATACAAGAAAGGTAAAAAGGTCCAAGACAAAACGTAAATGACAAGGAACAGAGCTTGTGGGACAAGCCTATACTAAGGCTGAGTGTTTGTAACAATACGTCTCTGAGTCTTTATTTGGGATCTGGTTGGCAGCCCAGAGAAAGTGCCAACTACAGAGACTGAAACTGGGTCCTGTGGAAGAATAGTGTGAATTCTGAATTACTAAGACATCCAGCCTACCCTGAAAACTAAATGGATCCCTGTGACCACTGTTGTGACAGTGACAAGGTGTAGAATCTGATGTTCATTCTAGTTAGGATGTGACTTCGATAGAAGCAGGACAGATCAGCATAGGCTGGTGACAGGAGGAAGAGCTGGGGGCTGAAGGCTTAAAAGCCTGGTGTTACCTGCTCAGTTCCGAGCTGAGCCTTGGCAAGTGACTTTGCCAGGTTATATGCTGGCAAAGGGGTGCATGTGGAGCTCAGCCATTGGGAAGTGAAGACAGGAATACGGGCTAGCCTGGTTACATGAGATCCTGTCTCAAAACTAAAGCAAGATTTAAAGCATGAGCGATTGGTCATTCAGGTAGCACTTGCTGACCGACTGACCAGTGCTCAGTAATGTTAGCCAGTGCCTTTCACTTGTGAGTGAGCCTCAGTTAGCATCTTCCTTTGTGTTCATTTCCAGGCTGTTATCAAGATGGAGTTTCCAACTCAGTAATCCAAGGACCAGATCCTGAGTCCATAAAGGTACCATCGCCTCTGAGACCCATTTCTCACCAGGAGCCCAACTGTGCTGTGTCCTCTCTATGGCTTCAGGTGGATCTCCCCACCTGTGAGCCACGGTGTGGCAAGGCTCACCTAGTGAGGTGCTTGCTCCTTCTAAGAGACCATCTTTTCCCCAGTGACTGCTAAGGAAAATAGGGTTAACATTGAATTGCCAAAGACACCAACAAAACTAGGTGTGCTGGTGCAATCAGGAAATGAATTGAGGTTATGCCTTGGGTGCTGGTGCAATCAGGAAATGGGTTGAGGATATGCCTTGGGTTCATGCAGGTCAGCTGAAAGAAAACTCTGAGACACTTTAAGAGTGAATTTAGTGTTTGCGGCTGCAGGGGGCCCCAGCCTCGAAGGACTGAAGTACCATCCTTACACCCAGGGAATTTTTTTTTCTCAATATTTACACTTTAGCCAGAACAACTTGAATGAGACCTCCAAAACCACAATGCCAAGTACAAAGTCTCTATTCATTGGGTACCACAGTTTTCCGAGTTTCCTCAACCAAGTTTTGCATAGGCTTTGTATCCTTGGGAAAGTCCCAGACAAAGCTCACACAGAGTGACAAAAGGTAACCCTCAACAAAAGATGGATTGGACTAGGTGCTAACTCTCTGGAGCCAGCCCAAGTGTGGTCCAGTGAAGTTAGGGCCAGTTGCTATCAATCTGGCACCAGGCCCAGCAGAATTCTGCTACAGATCCCCCTCTCTTTTTACAAAAATCAATTCTTTTGAATGTTATGCAGCCTCACAGTATATACAGCTTTGTTTTCTGTCTTACAATCCTGTATAAGTAGGCCAAAGCACATTTTAAAGCTAATAAAGCTACTATTGCTAAGACAAGAGCAACACCTACTAGAATCAGAAATCTATTAAAGTAACTCATAGGTTAAACGATGCTAATGCATCAGCAAGACTTTCCATAGCATCCATTCCTGTCGTATCAGGCAACTCTTTTGCAAACGTTTCTTTGATTTCTTTTGAAAGTCATAAGCCATTTGAGAAGAATTAGGGTGACCCGTCAAATGCATCTTAACCATATCCCAATCGTACTTGCTTTCGTTACATCTTAGGGGTGTGATACAATAAGAAGAGACATTCCAACCACATTTTAATTTTATCTGCTCCTTCAAATTTTTGAACTGATCCCCTAACAATATAACAGCTTGCCTTAACTCAGCTAATTCATTTTTTCATTATTAATCTTATTTTGTTCAGTCCAAAGTTCTTTTGACTATTTATGCCATTCTCTAATGAACTCAGCAATTTGAATTTCTTTATGAAGCGCCAATCCAGCTGTTGCTGCTGTAGCCATAAATGCAAAAATTCCCAAGATAACTGCAATAACCAGTCCAACCATTTGACCCATTCAACGTGTCCTTTTTAGTAATCTCTCTGTGAGCTTCTGTACCAGGGTCATCACAGGAGAGTCTCGCCATGGCCTTGAAAACTTCACTGATATCCAGATTGCTGACCCTGCTCCAAGAATATATAAACTTTGAAAGGTCAAGTTTAAACACATACTAGAATTAACACAGGTATGAAGGTAATGCTGTAATTATTAGGGTGCCATGGTACAGGTCCCTGTAGTAGCAAATGAGGTAGTGGCACACATGCCATAAAAGCATGGCTTGATTTATCTAAAAGACAAAGTATATTTATCATTCCCAGTGTTTAATTTTCCTTCCCACACCTCAAGAGGGTGGAAGGCACTTGCCCATTTCCACAAGTCAGTCTGAACTGAATTGCCAAATTGCAGGAGAGGACTAGCCATTCCTACTCTGTGCCACTGGATAGGTTCATTAACGGAAGCACTGATTTCCACAGTAAGCTATACCATTTCCATCTTAACTCTGAACAAGAGTGTTTTCCTAAAGAGGAGCCGAAAGGGCTCCAATCCTAGAATCATCTTGGGAGATATTAGCTAGCACTGGAGGCTTCTCACTCTTATATTGTTGCCAATATACCCAGTCAGATTCCTTGTTGGTTACCCACATCTCACAGAACAGTAGATTTATGGAACTGATAGCACTAATCTCCTGTCCTTTAAAACCAACATATAAAACTTTTTTTTGGGGGGGGGTTCGAGACAGGGTTTCTGTCTCTGTATTGTTTTGGAGCCTGTCCTGAAACTCACTCTGTAGACCAGGCTGGCCTCGAACTCACAGAGATCATCCTGCCTCTGCCTTCCGAGTCCTGGGATTAAAAGTGTGCGCCACCCAACGGCCAGCTAAAACCAGCATATAAAAGTTATTATGATAATCTTGTGTAGTATTGACTATGGGTAGCCATACTTGAGAGGTTATTTTAAGGCATTGAGTTTCATTTTTCATGCAAATAAGGATTCCTTGAACTCCCACACTGTAATTCTCAATTACTCTACCATCCTCCCTTGGCTGAGCAGGACCCTGTTTTCATAAGGACCAGGGAGCCAGGAAGATTCATTAACCACTACAGGAATATCCATATCTCCCAACTTAACTGCTGTGTTAATTAGAGAATTGGGGATAAATGCCCAGTATGTATAGCTTGCTCCTGTTACCTGTGTAATTACCACAAATAAGTGTATCAGGGAACAGATCTGTAGCTTTTAGGTTTCGGAGTCATTGGCTTCCCCTTTGTCACATAAATCCTTACGTTGTACCCAGGTGGGAGAGTTTGCTGTCTACTTTAAATGCCTCCTGTATTTTCTTCTCCAGAGATGTGTCCACAGTCATAGCATCTGAGATATTCCTCTTGATTATTCCAAATTTTTATCCATTTTGATGGGATCCACAACCTTTTATCTCCTGTAGAAATGTCCTCCATGTCCTCTGCTTCAGTTCCTGCTTGAGTTTCTGCACTGACTTCCCTCCATGATGGACTATAAATTATAAGATTAAATAAGCCCCCCCAGATGCCTCTTGTCATGTTGTTTATCACAGCAATAGCAGCACACTATGATAACATATAAGTGTGTGGGTGTGGGTGACATGGGATGCCTGTAGAGAACAGAGGACAACTCAGATTGTCAGCCTTGGCAGAAAGCACCTTTACCTACCGAGTCAGACGTTCTCAACCTGTGGGTTACGACCCCACTGGGGGGGTCAAGACGCTTTCATAGGGGTTGCATGTCACATATCCTGCATATTAGGTATTTGCATTATGATTTGTAGCAGTAGCATGTAACAAGTCTTTCTGTATCCTGCCAGCCAGCTCTTAAATCATGACATAGAGACTTATTAATTATGAAAGCTTGGCCAGTAGCTTAGGCTTATTTCTAACTAGCTCTTATAACTTAATGAACCCATATTTTTTTGAATCTAGAGGTTTTTTTTGTTTTTGTTTGTTTGTTTTTTACGTGGGTCAGTTGCCTTTATAAAGCCCATGCTGCTTGCTCTGCATGGTGGCATCTCCTCCCTTTTCTTTCTTTTTTTTCTTTTTTTTTTTTTTTTTTGGTTTTACAAGACAGGGTTTCTCTGTATTGTTTTGGAGGCTGTCGGTCCAGTCTGGCCTCGAACTCACAGAGATCCGCCTGCCTCTGCCTCCCGAGTGCTGGGATTAAAGGCGTGCGCCACCACCTCCCGGTTAGGGTCACTCTTCTTAGGACAGGGCTGACTACCAGTTCTGACGAGTAACTGCCTACATTTCTCCTCTTGCTGGGGCATCTGGATGGCTTGTGACTTTCAAAGGCAAGTTCTGGAATTCTGTAAGTCATCAGTAAAAGAAACAGGCCCCAAGTCTCTGAGATTCCAACATGGAAAGATGGACGCACAGAGAGAGCATTAAACGGAGCTGGGGCCGAGGCTCGGTTGGGGATGCTCATCCACCGTGCGCTCAGGCTCTCTGTTGCCGTGGTAAAACACTCGGACCAAACGTAACTTAGGGAAGAAGGGATTTCTTTGCTTACACATCCAGGGCGCTGTCCATCCTGAGGGAGTTAGCATGGACTTGGCTCAGAAGCTATGGAGGGACACTGCTTGCTGGCTCACGTTCATCTGGGTTTCTTTTATGGTCCAGGACCATCTCCATAGGCGCTGGTGCTGCCTGTAGTGAGCTGGCCCCTCCTACATCAATCAAGACAGCCTCCCCACCTGCAAATCCGACCCAGACAACTCCTCAATTGACGCTTTCCTCTCAAATTATTTTAGACTGTATCAAGTTGATAATTAAAGCTAACTAAGACACCAAGCAAATATAAAGACCTGAGTTCAACCCCAGGACTCAGCAGAAAAATCTGGGTGTGATAAGCGCACATCTGTAATCCTGGCGCTGGGGGTCAGAGATGGAGATCTGTAGGTTGAACTGGCCAGACAGACTGTCTACCTGACAAGCTGCAGACCAGTGAGAGGCACTGTCTAAACACGGTGTGGGTGGCGTCGAGGGAGCCACCCGAGGGTCACCTCTGGCCTCTCAATGCACACACGCTCTTTGCAGTTCCTCACAGCTCATACACGTGGATGGTGTCATTGTGATTCCTGCCCCCCTTTCTCTGTTGCAGCATGATCTCCTTCTGTCCAGTCTGTGGCAAAAGTGTACAAGGTTCATTCAACTTCTGCCCATACTGTGGCGAGGCCCTGCCTGTAGAGGAGCATGCAGGAGCCCAGACTGGCATTACACCTCTTGTGTCATCCTTTCGAGGTAGGAACCAGCAAAGTCCAGCCCTGTCCTGCAGTTTCTTACAACTTCTATAGTTTGGACCATACTGTCGAAACCCTGTCTACATAACTGTGGTCTTTGGGTCTCATGACCACAAAAGGGAGGTTTGCCCTTAAGCATGTTCACAGAAGCAGAGGTAGCCAGGGCAACGGTTTCTTTAGCAGACAGCTTCACTGGACAGCCTTGTCAGCCATCTCTTAGAGGAAAGATACAGAGCATAACAAGCCAGACTCAGTAAACTGCAACCATCCCATGTCTACACAGTCCTACACCTCACCAGACTGCTAAACAATGTCCGTACAAGGAGTAGTTGGACTGTGTTGGGTACATATCAACACACTAAGTGTTTACTGTTTATTTCTTGTTCAAGGGCATACCTGAGTTTAAAAGGCAGCAGACAGGAGTCTGCATTCTCTCTCTCTACCATGTGGGACCTGGGGATTGAACTCTTGTCATTAGGCTCAGTAGCAAGTACCTTTACCCACTAAGCCATCTTGCTGTGGCATCTGTGGTACTTTGTAGTCATCATCGTGGTAGTCATCAGCTGTCATGCTACTGGGGTATGTCACTTATCGTGGGCATGGACTATAAGGAAGTTAAAGGGTGTCTGGAATAACGGAATCACCTTAGAATTGACAGCTGCTGCAGGTACGGTAGCTGTGCCTGGATTCTAAGCACTTGGGAAGCGAGGCAGGAGAATCACCGTGAGTCTGAGTCCTGAGCTACAGAGTGGCATCCTGTCTCAAGAATAAAACAAAAAAGGGGCCGGAGACATGACTCAGTGGTTAAGAACACTTAAGAGGGGCTGAGAGATGGCTCTGAGTTTAACAGCACTTGCTGCTCTTTTGGAAGTCCTGAGTTCCATTCCCAGCCACCACATGGTAACTCACAACTATCTGTAAGTGATCTCGTTCCCTCTCCTGACCTGCAGGAATATGCTGAAGGCAGAACACTGTATGCATAATAAACAAATCTTTTTTTAAAAAAAAAAACATTTAAGAGAAAAAAAGCAAATATTTGCAGAGCATGTTTAATATGTTTGTAGAAAGGAATAAAAGTGCTTTAAATACATACATATAAAAACATAAATATGTACATACATATGTAATCATTGAAATAAGAAACTTAGCGTATGTCTTAAATGGCAGACTAGACAGAGCTAGAGGATTTATTCAAAAGCCAAACACTGTGGCACCTACCTATAATCCTAGCATGTAGGAGGCTGAGGAAGGGAGTTGGAATTTTCTTAAGACCAACCTAGGTCATATAGCAAGACCTTGTCTGTTTTTTGAGACAGGGATCTACTTGTGTAGCCTTGGCTATCCTGGAACTCTGTAAGACCAGTCTAACCTGGAACTCAGAGATCCTCCTGCCTCTGTCTTTCAAGTGCTGGGATTAAAGGTGTGCTACCACCACCCAGGTGCAAAACCTTGTCTTTAACAAAAACAAATTGCTGGGCCAGCAAGATTGCTCAGAGAATGAAAGTGCTTGCTTGACAAGCCTGGTGAGCTGGGTTCAATCCCTTAGACATACCTGCAGGTAAAACACTAATGCACATAAACTAAAAATAAATAAATTTTTTAAAAATTTCAAGAAGTTTCTTAGAAGACAGAATGACAAGTGATGGAGGATATAAGTGGGCCTATTGAGGGGGAGATAAGCAGGAAAAAGGAACACTTGGTCAGAGGGCAGTGAAGACAGCAGCGCTAGCCTGTGAAGGCAGAGGGAAGAGCCTGGCTGACCCTGAACACAGAATGCGGGATTGGCTGCCTGCAGGGCCCTTCAGAACACTAATCTGTATTTGGTTCCCTTTCAGGCTCAAGGAAAGAGCTGAACTTCAGTTCTAAAACCTCTCCTAAGAAAGTGAAATGGTCACCCACTGTCACCTCTCTCCCGCCCTCCTTCTCTGACTGTGACAGTTCTGAGTCAAGGCTGAGCTCTCCTGAGACAGCCTCAGGTGAGAGCTGGGCTTGGTCCACATCTGGATGGGGCACAGATGGGACAAAGGGTCAGAGAGGACCCCGCAGTTAAGGGAGCTTGCACTCCAGTCCACTTGCAGAGTCCTGACAGCTCCAGGCCACATGTCCTGACAGCTCCCTGCCTGTGACTCCAGCTCCCGCAGGGCCGGTGCCCTCTTCTGCTTCCATAGGTACTACATGCTGGGGAAATCACCCAGCCCTAATTAAAATAAAATCTAAAACTTAAAACTGTTTCAACTGAAACGTCAGCCAGTCAGCCCTGCCGGGAGCTTCTTCCCAGTGTCCCCTTCCTGTTCATCCCCCCAGGGACCTTTCACACCCCAAGGTGAATTCATTGCCCATGGTCTGTGGTCTCTGCCTGGGCTCTCACCACTCCACAAACCCAGCACCTGTCTTACATCTGCTATCATCTACCATTCTATGTTACCTGGACAATTTCCTTTGTTTGTTTGTTTGAGACTGGTTCTCACTACATAGCCTAAGCTGGCCTGAAACTCAAAGCTATGCTCCTGGTTCAGCCCCCCAGAGTTCTGGAATTATGGGCATATGCCATCACATTTGGTTTTTGAGTGATCTTTTTCATCTCTATCTTCCAGTTTGTGAATTCTTTCTCTAGCTATGTCTGGTCTGCCATTTAATCTGCATGCTGTGTTTCTGACTACATATCCCAGTATACAGAATTGCCACGTGAGGGATTCTCCACGTCTATGCTCTTCTAATCGTTTCCCTCAGACCAGCTTGCCTACACCTCCTGCTGGCTTGCTGTGCTCCCCAGGCCCTGCCATTTACAGACCTGATCTCTTGGAACCCCTTCTGAGCTTGTGAGTGTGTGCTGAGGCTCTTGCACCTCTGCTAGCTCTGCCCCCACTCGCTCGCTCATCGCTTTCGGTTCTGTGTCTCTTGCAGCCTCTCTTCCTGGTCTGCATGTTCTTTGTGGAAAGAGCCACAGAACTCACGTGTCTTACCAGCCAGTGCTGGGCAAGAGAGGCCCGGTGCCTGGGTGTCCTTCAAGATCAAGCCTCAGTCTAACACATCTGGGCCCTCTTCTTAGCTCAACACATAGCCAAGACACATTTCAGGGTATTTTGGGGTGAATGTCTGCAATGTCCTTTCTCCCTGGCAAACTTGTATTTGGCCAATAGACCCTGCTCTGATGAACCTTCCCCAGGAAGCCTCCCTTGACGTCTTCAGCCACCTCTCTCTTCTTGCCCCAATGTCTATCTTTTTTTTGTTTGTTTGTTTGTTTGTTTTTTCGAGACAGGGTTTCTCTGTATTGTTTTGGAACCTGTCCTGGAACTTGCTCGGTAGACCAGGCTTGGTTTCAAACTCACAGAGATCCGCCTGCCTCTGCCTCCTGAGTGCTGGGATTAAAGGCGTGCGCCACCACCGCCCCGCGTCCCAATGTCCATCTTGACTGCTTTGTCTCTGATTCGATTCTTTGTCTAGACCCAGCCCATGTGTGTCCCCGGTGTTGTGGAACAGAGACCCTGGTTGCAGACACACCAGGAGAACCACAGATGAGTAGGAACAGCATCCAGGGCACTGCTTCTCTTGGGCTACTTTCTCTCTAACTGGTCATCGCCCTGCAGGCACCAGGAGCAGACCCCCGACCCCCAGAGGCAGCCCACAGGCTTCCAGGCTAAGTCCTCAGACGCTGAAGAGGAGCTGGGTGACCACCTCGCTCCAGGCTTTGCCCACAGGGACAGAGCTGACAGACAAGAAAGGGCAGCACTGGACACTGGGGACCCTGCAGAGCCGGGATGACCAAGGCATTCTCTATGAAGGTACACGCTATCCCTGTGCACAGGATGCGCCACACGGACAAAGGCACTGTAATGCCTAAGGACGGCAATTTCAAGAGGGAACGATGAACTAGGGCTCAGTGTTTGACCAGAGCTAGTCCATTGTGGCAGGGAGGGAACATGGAGCAGAACACCCAGGCCCAGAGGAAAGGGTTACAGGGAGTGACCAAGGCAAGGTGTGGCGCTCAGGGACGTGCTCGCCTCCAGCTCGGGCCCACCTCCCAGTGATGCTGTTATATTGGAATCCTTCAAAGGATTAGTCCATCGTTGAGGCCTCAGCCCTTAGGACCTCACCATCTCCCAGGAAGTCGTCCAGTTTCTGGGAACTGCGCTTCCCTGGCCTTGCTGCTCTCCAGGCCTGTCAAGGTGATGGGCAAGATGAGGGCTGGCTGTCCTGTGCATTGTCGGAACCCTGCCAAAAAGCCTCAACAGAGAAGGAGGTGGATTCGTGTCACAGCTCCATTCATAGTAGTAGGGAAATTAAGGCAGGAGCTTGAGGGGCTGGTCTCAGCCATAGGAGACAAAGGGCAGGGTTGAACGCAGCATGTTTGCATGTTCGTTTGCATAGGAGACAAAGGGCAGAGTTGAACGCAGCATGTTTGCATGTTCGTTTGCATAGGAGACAAAGGGCAGAGTTGAACGCAGCATGTTTGCATGTTCGCTTGCATAGGAGACAAAGGGCAGAGTTGAACGCAGCATGTTTGCATGTTCGTTTGCATAGGAGACAAAGGGCAGAGTTGAACGCAGCATGTTTGCATGTTCGCTTGCATAGGAGACAAAGGGCAGAGTTGAACGCAGCATGTTTGCATGTTCGTTTGCATAGGAGACAAAGGGCAGAGTTGAACGCAGCATGTTTGCATGTTCGCTTGCATAGGAGACAAAGGGCAGAGTTGAACGCAGCATGTTTGCATGTTCGCTTGCATAGAGACTAAGGGCAGAGTTGAACGCAGCATGTTTGCATGTTCGCTTGCATAGGAGACAAAGGGCAGAGTTGAACGCAGCATGTTTGCATGTTCGTTTGCATAGGAGACAAAGGGCAGAGTTGAACGCAGCATGTTTGCATGTTCGCTTGCATAGGAGACAAAGGGCAGAGTTGAACGCAGCATGTTTGCATGTTCGCTTGCATAGGAGACAAAGGGCAGAGTTGAACGCAGCATGTTTGCATGTTCGCTTGCATAGGAGACAAAGGGCAGAGTTGAACGCAGCATGTTTGCATGTTCGCTTGCATAGGAGACAAAGGGCAGAGTTGAACGCAGCATGTTTGCATGTTCGCTTGCATAGGAGACAAAGGGCAGAGTTGAACGCAGCATGTTTGCATGTTCGTTTGCATAGGGGACAAAGGGCAGAGTTGAACGCAGCATGTTTGCATGTTCGCTTGCATAGGAGACAAAGGGCAGAGTTGAACGCAGCATGTTTGCATGTTCGCTTGCATAGGAGACAAAGGGCAGAGTTGAACGCAGCATGTTTGCATGTTCGCTTGCATAGAGACAAAGGGCAGAGTTGAACGCAGCATGTTTGCATGTTCGCTTGCATAGGAGACAAAGGGCAGAGTTGAACGCAGCATGTTTGCATGTTCGTTTGCATAGGAGACAAAGGGCAGAGTTGAACGCAGCATGTTTGCATGTTCGCTTGCATAGGAGACAAAGGGCAGAGTTGAACGCAGCATGTTTGCATGTTCGCTTGCATAGAGACAAAGGGCAGAGTTGAACGCAGCATGTTTGCATGTTCGCTTGCATAGGAGACAAAGGGCAGAGTTGAACGCAGCATGTTTGCATGTTCGCTTGCACGCTTGCTTGTGCTCGGCTCCACTCTCCACTCTTCAGAGCCCTGGACCCCTGCCTGGGGAGTGGGCTGAGTTTTCCCACCTCAATTGAGACAGTCCCCCACAGACCAAGCCAGTATACACAATCCCTCATGAGACCTTCTTGCCAGCTAGAGTCAAGTTGACAGAATATCACCCTTGCCTAATAGAAGACTAGATTCAATCCCTGGAACTTTGAAGAGAGGAGGGAGGCAGAGAAACATGGAGGAGCAGGTGTTGAGTACCACATATACACTTCCCCATGGGAACCAGAGAACTGGCTCCGGTTGTAAGCAGCTTAGGGATTGGTGGCCCTGACGCTCCCCTCAAGTTGTGATGCTTCTCTCTGCCATTCCACAGCTGAGCCCACTTCTGTCCTCCCCTGTGACTCGAGGACTTGGAAGCATAAATTCTCACTCAAACTGGTGAGTGGCCCAGGGACAGCTCAGAAAGGAGGGTGTAGGACTTTCAAATTATCCCGTGACCCCTGAACCCCTAGTCTATGAAGAGCCATGGGACTCTGACACTCCTTCTCTCTGGGGGACACAGGTGAGGAGATGTTTCCTGGTCACGTGACCCTGTCCCCTCTTAGCTCCAAGTTTCTGCATCAGTGCCTCTGCCTGCCTCCTACATAGAGTGTGTTTGTCGGGCACTGGGTGTGTCAGGTTTTTGTGACAAAATTTCTGTGTAGAACACATGAAGGAAGGATTTATTTGGTTCATGATTTTGGAAATATATGAGTATATCATATGGGGAGGGAGTTGCCAAGCAAAACATCTCACTTTCGAATCATGTGGGGAAGGTGTGGTCAAAAGCAGCTCTTGTTGTGGCAGCCAGGAAGCAGAGAGTCTGAGAGAGCATGAGCAAGAGGCTGTCGGGATGGAATATGTCTGCAGGCTCCCTGAGGCCTAGTACCATCTGCTTCTTAGTTTTCTTAGTTCCTGTGTGACAGACCCCAGCCAAGTGACTCCTGTGCACTGTCACTGGATTCTGTCAGCAAGTCTTTGAGGTAGCCACTGTGTTCCAAACTTGACAGATGAGAAGAAGGGAATGGAGAACGAAGGGGAGGAAAGAAGGGAGAAAGGAATCAGATTGGGGCACGACTCAATTAGTGCCTTCCCAGCATGCACAGAGCCCAGGCTCTGTCACCACTGACAAGCCAGGTGTGGCACCTAGAGTGTGGAGGCAGGAGGATCAAGAACTTAAAGTCCAGCTACATCACGGGCTTGAGGCCCGCATTGGATACACAAGGCCATGTCCTACAGGAGTATGGGGCTGTGGGAGGGGAGAGAAAGAAAGCGAAGGGAGACTGGGGAAGAGGGAGGGAGGAGTGCCAGACAGACCTGGCTGTGTTTAATGACATGGTCTTAAGAACCAAGGGGGGATAGTATATATAGTTAAGGGATTGGCTTGACGGCGTGTGTGTGTGTGTGTGTGTGTGTGTGTGTGTGTGTGTGTGTGTGTGTGTGTGTGTGTGTCCAGTCTTTAAAATATATATAATTTTATGTGTATGAACATGAGTGTTTTGCCTGCTTGCGTATCTTTGTACCACTTGCGTGTGTGGTGCCCACAGAGACGAGAAGAGGTGCCAGGTCCCCTAGAGCTGGAGTTAAGGGTGGCTGTGAGCTGCCTGGTGTGGGTTCTGGGAACCAAACCTGGGTTCTCTGCACGAGCAGCCAGTGCTCTTACCCCCAGTATCATCTCTTCTGGCCCTGACCCAATTGTTTTTGAAACTGGTTCTCAGTACTCCCTGGCAGTTCTGGTCATGTCCTCATTGCAAAGGACGAGGCCAGGAGATGAAGTTTTTAGCTAAGAGCCACATGTGTAGGGCAGACTATGGATCTTCCCATAAAATAATCAAAGGGATACTGAGAAGCACAGCCTTCTTGCTGTGGTTTTCCAGGAACTGTACCATACAGGGACAGGAAGAAACTGAATTTGTTGGTATGGCACTGGGAGCTTGCTGGGAATTTGGGGCCCTTGTCTAAGGGAGTTTGGTGTGACAGCCTCTGCCCTCCTCTCACCGCTAGGACTCCAAGGATGGGCGCCTTTTCAACGAGCAGAACTTCTTTCAGAGAGCAGCCAAGCCTGCGCAAGGTACTCCACCGGGACTGGGCAGCTGAGTCAAGTGACAGGGTCCTTAAGACATTCAGTGGTGTGGTGACCAAAGACCCACACCACGGCCTGACTCCCAGCACCCTCAACCTCTGGCCTCGGGAGACAGGCGGGGCTGGCCTGTAGCAGCTCTGGAAAGACAAACGGCACTGTCACGACACTGTGTTCTTACTGTCACCTCACAAATTGTTAGGGAAATTTTAATCAGATTGCTTACATTCAAAACAAACATAACCCTGGTATCCTAGTATTTATGTCTGCGCTCTATTAGCCGCACTCTCTGGGCTGTGGAAATCTGTCGTGTGGTGAGGTAGCACTCTGGGTGCTCTCCAGCTGCCTTCATTCCTGTTGTGCTGCTGCCTTGGCAGGGGCTGAACTGCCAGCCCCGTAGGTCTCCCCTGCCAGCCTGCACCCGGCCGCACCTCAACACCCAGTCCCTCTGCACTAGCCAGGGGCCCGGTGCCACTGTGGCTGGTTAGACTTCTGCTCATCTTGTCAGCCCTGTGTGCGAACTCAGAGGTCACCTTCTTTCCTTCCTTCTTCCTTCTTTTACTCTTTTGAGACTGGGTCTCAGGTAGTCCTGGGTTTCTGGAAGTAAAAATGTAGTCACACTCGAGTTTGAACTCCTGACCTCCCGCTTCCACCTCCTGAGTACCGGGATTACCAGTGTGCTTTGTCACCTGCGATTTTATGCAGTGCTGGGGATAGACCGAAGACACTGTACATGCTAGGCAGGCGCTCTGCCACCTGAGCTCATCAAAGCCCTTCCATGATGCTCTTAACCTCTTCCCTCATGCCAGCTTTGAGCATGACTGCTCAGAAATTTACTGGCAGATCCGTACTGGCAGACACGGATCAGAGATATGCCCACCCTGTCCCGCCTCTTCTCATTGTCACCCACAAGGATGGCCTACCAATGAGGACAAATGAAGAGACCCAGCGTCTGGCCTGGGCTCTGTCTGCTTCTGGCCTAAGCAGGGTTGTCCACGAGCCTGCGTCTGGCCGTGAGCTGACCCTGACTCTGCCCCTGCAGTGAGCAAGTGGAGGAAGCAGCGCCTGGTTCCGCTCCTGGCCATCCCCACCTGCGTGGGATTCGGCATTCACCAGGACAAGTATAGGTGAGCCACCTCACTGGCCGCCCCCTTCCCACCCAGGGGCCCCTCTGCTGCACGAGTGGGCATTTCTCAGGGGACAGCATTGCCTTTCCTCAGAATGGGCCTGTGGCTCACATGACCAGGGTGGGTCCAGCTTTCCAAGTGGTAGGTTTTACTCAGCTTGACTTACAGAGCAGCAGGTGACCTTGGCATCTCCTCCAGCAAAGTCTCACTACCTTTAATTGTTGTCTTCTTTTATCCGGGCAGCAGAGGGGAAGGGAAAAACCAAGGTGAAGCAGAGTGAAGGCTAAGACCCAAGAGTAAGCTGGCTGGCTTACCTGAGAGACTCCTGCTGCTGGGAACTGGGATGTGAGAATTGGGGAAAACAAGTGGAGAGCTAAGGGGTGAAAAACCTCAGGCCCCATGCCTGCCCCAGGGCATTGTGAGAGCTTACAGGAAAGCGGGCAGTGAGCCCAAAGGCAGGAATACACAGCTGTAGATTAGCACTGGAGATAAGTGTCCTAACCTGCCCAGGACACCCTGCCCAGGTCCTATGGCATACCTTGCAGACCTTAGCATCCCACACCTCCAGCTCCCATGATTCTGTCTTCTAGGTTCCTGGTCTTCCCCAGCCTGGGGAGGAGCCTTCAGTCAGCCCTGGATGATAACCCAAAGCACATAGTATCAGAGAGGTGTGTGCTGCAGGTGGCCTGCAGGCTGGTACGTACCCCAGAACCACTCCGCACCCTCTTCAAATCCCAGCTTCCCCAGCAGGCAGGTTAATTCATCTTCATGGGTGCACAGAGGCCAGAGCACGAGTGGCCTAGTCGCTGGGGTGGTGATGTCCCACAAGGTGAGCCTGGAGGCCCGGCCTGGAACAGAGGTGCAGACCATGGCTTTGAGCCTGCACTCTCAGGATGAGTGAGAAGGGCTACGATGCTGGGTGGAAGAACGCTGAAGTACCTAGAAGAGAACTTTCCAGGCCAAGGAGACTGCTTGGGCCAAGGCTTACTTTTCTATTGCTAGGAAATATGACCAGGGGCCACTTGAGGAAAAAGGAGTTTGTTTTTGGCTTACAGTTTCAGAGAGCGAGAGTCCATGCTGGTAGAATGGCAGTAGCAGCCAGCAGGCAGTAGCAGCAGCCAGCACTCACACCTTGCAATCATGAAACAGAGAGAGCCCTAGGAATGGCAGGGGCCTTTGACACCTCAAGCCCAACCCCAGTAACACCTCCTCCAAAACGGCTACATCTAAGTCTTCTCAAACAGTTCCACTGATCAGGGACCAAGCATTCAAACACCCAAGACTACTGGGGACATCTCATTCAGACCACCACAGCTTGTACAGAGACATTACTCATTCATCCATTCATTCATTCATTCATGCATGCATGCATGCATGCTCTCACTAAATAGTCACCAAGTACCCAGCTTTCTCTGGCTGGAATGGAGCAGAGAGCAGCCAATCCTATCTTCATGTCTTCATTCTCAGCTAGGTGGACAGGGCTCTGGCAAACAGTCGGCTTTTAGAAATGAGCCCTGCTTGCCAGGTAGTGGTGGTGCACACCTTTAATCCTGGAAGGTAGAGGCGGATGGATCTGTGAGTTTGAGGCCAGCCTGGTCTATAGAGTGAATTCCAGGATAGCAGGGTTACACAGTGAAATCCTGTCTTGCAAAACAACAAAAAAGAAATGGCACCTGCTTAATGAAGCATGAGGAACCAGGCACCGAGGGAGCGATGTGCTTGTTAGGTGAGGTGAACACCCTAGCACCGCCCAGTGTGGCGGGGTGGGGTCAGCGTGTGCCGAGAACAGCAGACAAATCCGTCACAATACCAGGTAAGGATCAGGGGTGCTGTAAGGCAGAAAGACTGCCAGGCCATGTGGGGTTGAGCTGCCCCAAAGAAACTAAATGCAAGATGAAGGCTCAAGCGGAAGAGGGTGGGGCTTACAGAGCATTATAGAAGAACAAAGTGGCCCCAGAGTTACGGGAGGGAGGGGTCTAGAGATGAGTAAACACTGGAGCTGGCTAGAGCCCCCAGGAAGGGGCTCTGATGCTGGAGGATGCTGGTTACTTCTGCAAAGGGACGCTAGATCAGCACAGGAGGTATGTGGGAAGGCAAATATTAGCTAACTGCTGGTTCATTGTTTTGTTGGGGTTTCTCTGTGTAACAGCTCTGGCTGTCCTGAAACTTGCTCTGTAGACCAGGCTGTCCTTGAACTCACAGGGATCCGCCTGCCTCTCCGTCCCGAGTGCTGGGGTTAAAGGCGCACATCACCGCCCAGCTAACTGCTGATTTCTTCAGAAAGTCTAACTTGAGCCATGACTAAGCATGCTACCACAGTGAACTTCACCATGCTGCGCTAGAACTTGACAGGACACCCCGTCAGTCACAGTGTGGTGGTCTCTAGGTTGACACCTTTGCTCTTTTCTCATCTGTCATGGCTCTGTCAGTTGTGGCACCTCAGTACCATTCCTCTTCCTCCAGCTGGATGCTCTAGAGTTCCTCCATGAAAATGAGTATGTTCACGGGAATCTGACAGCCGAGAATGTCTTCGTGAATCCAGAGGATCTAAGCCAGGTGAGAGCCAGAACCTTCCAACACGCGCACGCGCGCACACACACGAGCACACACATGCTCTCAAACACCCCTTTTTGTGATGGTGGGGGTGTGGCTCTGTGGGTAGAGTGCTTGCCCAGCATACATTAAGAAAACAAACAAACAAAACAACAACCCTGGGTTCCCTATCTGAGACCACATACACTGGGCATGTTGGCACACATCTGTCATCCCAGCATTCAGGAAGTGAATACGGAGGATCAGTTCAGTCACTGTAAGCCAGGCATGGTGCACACCTTTAATCCCAGCACTCAGGAGGCAGAGGCAGGTTATTCTGTGAGTTTTGAGGTCTACATAGTGAGTTCCAGTACAGCCAGGGTTACAATTGAGATAGGAGGTGTCTCTGTAGGCTCCTGGGCTGGCGGCACTTCAGAGCCGAGGCAGGCGGAGTGCTGGGAGTCCAGGCAAAGGCAGGAGAACAAAGCAGTGTGGGTGCTGAGCTCAGTCCTCGGAGTTGGGCTTTGTGTGCCTGGGACAAAGCGCCTGGCTCCACAGGGGACATATCTCTTGATGGAGCCAGCATTTGGTGGCGTCTTTGCAAGGTGGTGGAAATGCGGAGTACGGCTTCCCGGGGCGTCTTCCCTCCATTCCTCCCTGCTTCCCAGCCGCTGTGAGGTGAACAGTTCCCACTACCCACTTGATCCACCGCGATGTTTAGTCTCACCCGAGGCCCAAGGCAGGGATGCAGCTGGGTTTGTGTAACCTGCAACAATAGAATGTCGAACCTTCCCCTCTACAGCTGTCGGGTTGTAGACAGCTGCTGAAAGTCTGTGCGACACCCAGCTGTAGTCCTGACCTTAGGTCTGTGTGACTTGGTGTCCACAGGTGACCCTGGTGGGATATGGCTTCACCTTCCGCTACTGCCCAGGGGGCAAACACGTGGCCTACAAAGAAGGCAGCAGGAGCCCACACGAGGGAGACCTGGAGTTCATTAGCGTAGACACGCACAAGGGATGCGGTGAGCGGGGCCCAGCACCGTGACTCCCGCGTCTCACCCTGCGCAGCTCCCTGGGTTCTCAGCCATAAAGGGTGCTGTGGTGGGACTGGGGATGTAGACAGTGTCCTGGGCGTGAGAAGGGTTTGTGGATGGTGGCCTTTGAGCAGTGGGGATATGAGATTTAGAACAAAGAAGAGTGGCTTTGTCGTGCTTCCTGAGTCTCTGAGCCCCAATCTGGCAGACTTTGGAGCTGATGAGTGCTGCCTTAGGGTCACCTAGGAATGCAGGTGCAGAAAAGGGGCCATCCATTCCTAGAGCCTGAGATCCTTGTGGTGTCATGGGAGTTAAGATTGAACAAGAAGAGGATCTGGTTGTCCGTGGGAAGTGTGCAGGAGGGGTGACAGCCCTAGGCATTCTCCAGCCCCTCTTTCTTGAGTCTCAGAATCATCACCGTCCATCTGCCTGCACATACACTTCCATCAGACTAAAGTCCCTGAGCAGGGATGGTGCCTGTTCTGCTCAGGGGCAGGAAGTGAAGCAGCTTGAACTTAATTTAGGACATAGCTGTCTAAACAGTGAGTTAGGAGGCAAAGGGAGAGTGCCGGCTTCTCTGCCCTGCTTTGTCTCCTCTATGATCAGGTAAGTCCATGCTGCAATCTTTTCCCACTTAACTGTGTGGGAAATGATTGGAAACTCCTGTCTGTTTGGGAGAGGAGAGGCCAGGTCTGATGCACAGGCCCCCAGAGCTCATTGGATAAGTGTATCAACACAAGACGAATAGATGGGGACATTGGGGTACTGGAGTAGGTGACAGGCACAGAGAATAAGGGAGGCTGTGGACTGAGCAGTGATGGCTGAGACAGTTGGGTGGTGGAGGGGCAGACAGATGAGGAGGCAGAGCATCCAGACTGAGCCACCACCTCTCCCCTTTCCTCCCAGGGCCCTCCCGCCGCAGTGACCTCCAGACCTTGGGCTACTGTATGCTCAAGTGGCTTTATGGGTCCCTGCCATGGACAAGCTGCCTTCCCAACACCGAGGAGATCACTAGGCAGAAGCAGATGTGAGTGTAAGGGTCTGTAGCACCCAGGATTAGCCCAGGCACTCCTTCAGGTAGGGGAGGAGCTCACATCCCAGCAGGGAGTAAGAGGGATGGAAAGGTGACCACCCACAGCCATGACCCTCTGCAGCCTCAAGTACATTCTTTGTGGCGTACTCCAGCAGAAGAGACTCTGGGCTCTATGGCCATGCCAACCAGGGTTGGCTTCTGGCTCCACTGTTCTGGGTGCTGTGAGCCCCAGGGTTCTCCCACCAAGAACTGCTATATAGTTAGCACCTGAGTAACAAGCTTTGAAGGGTTAGGAGGTGAGTGTGCTCATTGCATGCATGACACCACAACTCATTCGCAGGCTGCATTCGCAGGCTGCATTCGCAGGGCATGCACCCCTAGCTACCCAGCCTCCATACCCCCAGGATTAGTGCCTTGGTCTCAGCATGTGAGTCTTCAAGTCTTAACAGTTGTTCTTTACGCAGTTGGTAAGAACAGAGAGAAGCATTGTGCCGGGGTTCAGCACCAAGGATAGATACAAGTTAGTGCCCTAGGCACTGCTGTTCAGCACCTAGGATAGCGGTAGGAAACTCTTTGGGACTGGTCACTATGTGACACCAAAGACAACAAAACTAGCTTTGAAAGGAGTCGCTCTGCTGTGCTCGTCAGTTAGATGTTGGTCTTAGGGTCTGCTGTATGGTGAGGAAATGTGGCCTTGAATGGGTTCATAGGGTGTGTCGCTTCAGCACAAGGACAGCAGACTCCTGGCCCTGGGGTGTCCCTGAAGGTCCTGGATCTGTACAGACTGGATAGCAGCAGGGCCCCCGACCATCCAGGATGGGTTTCACAGGCAGCTGAAGTCTCCAGGATTGTCACCGGGAGCCCTGGGAGGATGAGATCTTTGAGGAAGAGGGAGCACCCCAGGGAGCACTCACGGCGCTGCTTCACGTCCTGACCTTAGGGTGCTTTGATACAGTTGGCTATTGTGCCCCCATGGTACCTGCTACCTAGCCCCCTGTTCCAGCCACAACACGTGGTGCTGTCTCTGCACCTCTTGAAACGAAGCCCAGTGGAGTGAGCAGGTGACCCAAAGGCTAAAAGACCAAGAGTGTCAAGTTACGACATGTTCCTGTGGCTTGGATTAGGGACAAACACTGCAGCTTAACCAGGTGTGCTGGCTTAGGTCTCAGGTGGAGAGCCTCGACTCCTGAGGCTCTCCACAACACGCCGCTGGTTTCCTTGTGTCCACACTCTGTCCTCACGTCTGGCAACAGAGAATATGCCTGTGTGTCCAGGACAGAGTGGAGTCATAAGCAGTAAGGAACACTGTGGCCCAGTCTGGACTTGAGTGCGGACACAGAGGTCATGTAGCAAGGAGCAGCCCGAGCTGGAGAGAGTGCTGACCTGGAGCAGTCAGGGAACAGAGACACCCTCTTCCCAGGTTGCAGAGAGCAGTGAGGGGCAGTGAGGCTGTGGGTCCAGGACATGGGGCAGGGAAGGATGTGACGGAGACCAGGCCACAGGGGCTGCTGGTGGACATTATGTTCCTGAATTTTAATTTTGCACTGGGGGGCCACAGGCACTTGGAGGGTGGTGTTGGGCCTGGTCAGAGAGAGACCACAGGGCCCTCACAGAGTCACAGAGCAGGAGGCCTGAGGTGAGCCCATAACCAGGACAGGAACTAAGAAACAGGAAGTTTGGCCGGGAGCAGGAGAGAGAAGATGAACGGGAGAACCAGCCTGGCAGTCTAGACCGGAGAATCAGTGGAACACGGGACTTGGGGAGGGTCCAGAAGTACTGTCTGTCTTTCCTAAGTGGTGTGTATGTGTGTGCATGCCTGTGGTCAATCCTTGCACACTAGAACATTCTATGTTTTGAATTCCTACTGAAGATATCTGTAATAACTAATCCAGTGGTGTGGAATTGGGCTTTACTTGTAAGCTCACACACAGCCACCAGAAATGCAGATTCCTAGGCCTGGAGCTAATCAGTACAGGGTCTGTCTAGTACCCCATGAGCCAGCCTAGTGTAATCCTAACATTGAGGAGGTAGAGGCAGGAGGGTCAGAAGTTCAAGGTCATTGCCAACTGCAGAGTGAATTAAAGGCCAGCCTGGGCCACATGACATTATGCCTCAAAGAGACTAAAAATTTAGTAATACTATGAAGGCTGCATATTGACTGTTGGTGAAGTTGCTGTGAGCAGAAGCTCTGGGAACTTGACTGCTGGTCCCACACTCAGCAGAGCTATGGCGCTGTGTGCATTCATTGACTTCTCACAGCAAATCTGATGAGACGTGAATACCACATTTGAGCAGTGTAGGCCTTGGGTGTGTCTGAGTGTGTGCGTGAGTGCGTGCGTGAATATGTGTTGTATGTGTATGTATGTGGCGACACGGCGTCCTAACACATCTCTCCTCCCATGTGCTTCTGCCCTGAAGGTATCTGCACAACCCTGACCTCTTTGTGGGACTGTGTCGCCGCTGGCGCAAGGCCTCAGGTATGCTGCAGGCAGGCCTCGTGCCGTGGAGGCTTTCTTTACCTGCTGTGCTTTTCTTGTTTGAGTTTTCCCAGGGGTGTGTGCTGTGGGCACCTCTTGTGCAGCGTGAGTGTGGAGACAACGGCAGGGCTCTCTTTGCTGAGGATCAGACTTGCACTGTCAGCCTTGGTGGCAAGTGCCTTTACCCGCTGAGCCTTATGGATGGCCCTGTCATTTTTTTTTTGTTGTTGTTGTTTTTTTGGTTTTTTTTTTTTGGTTTTTCAAGAGAGGGTTTCTCTGTGGCTTTTGGAGGCTGTCCTGGAACTAGCTCTTGTAGGCTAGGCTGGCCTCGAACTCACAGAGATCCGCCTGCCTCTGCCTCCCAAGTGCTGGGATTAAAGGCGTGCGCCACCAACGCCCGGCTTTTGTTTTGTTTTTTTTTGTTGTTGTTGTTGTTGTTGTTGTTTGGTTTTTGAGACAAGGTTTTTCTGTGTAGTCCTGGCTGTCCTGGAATTCACTTTGTAGACCAGGCTGGCCTCGAACTCACAGAGATCTGCCTGCCTCTGCCTCCCAGTTGCTGGGAGTAAAGGTGTGCGCCACCACTGCTTGGTAGGCCCTGTGATTTTTTTTTTTATTTGGTTTTTTGAGACAGGGTTTCTCTGAGGCTTTGGAGGCTGTCCTGGAACTAGCTCTTGTAGACCAGGCTGGCCTCGAACTCACAGAGATCCTCCTGCCTCTGCCTTCCAAGTGCTGGGATTAAAGGGGCCCTGTGATTTTTTAATAGAATTATATTACTGATATTGGGTTCCTTGTTTTCCTTGTTTGAGACAGGTAGATTATGGAGGGTTCTTGCATTAATACTTATTTGTTGTTTGAGACAGAGACTGATTTTTATCCACCTGCCTCAAATGCTGAGACCAAAGGCTCATACCAACAGCCTTTTGTAGGATTTGGTTGGGGTTTTTGTAATTAAAAAGTACTTAGTATCTTTGACTTTAAAAATGAATTATGCTGAACATTGGTGGCGCACACCTTTAATCCCAGCATTTGGGAGGCAGAGGCAGGTGGATCTCTGTGAGTTTGAGACCAGCCTGGTCTATAAGAGCTAGTTCCAGGACAGCCTCCAAAGCCACAGAGAAACCCTGTCTCGAAAAACCAAACAAAACTGAATATAGTCTTGGAAGATGGCACAGTGGGTAAAGTGTTTGCCATGTAAGTGTGAGGGCCTGACTTCACATCCCGAGTCTGCATGGAGCCAGATGCAGACGTCATCTCTAAACCCAGTGCTCCCCCCTGGAGACAGAAGGCAGAAGTAGAAGAGGCCCTGACATTTGCGGCCTGCTGGCCCGCATACACAGCACAAGAAACACTGCTTCAAACCAGGTGGAGGAGAGGACCAGCACTCAGGGTTGTCTGACCTCTGCAAGCATGGCGAGATGCACGTGCACCTGCACACACGTGAACACGCTTACATGCATGCACACATAAATAGTCATGTGATTAATTCAGTGCATCAACAGTAGAAGTTAAGAAGAGGGGGCTCAGTGGTTAGGAGTATTTACTGCAAGCCTTTAATCCCAGCACTCAGGAGGCAGAGGCAGGCAGATCTCAGTGAGTTCAAGGCCAGCCTGGTCTACAGAGCAAGTTCCAGGCATCGAGGGCTACACAGAGAAACCCTGTCTCCAAGAAAAAAAAAAAGAGTGCTTACTGCTGCTGCAGAGGACCTGGTGCTGTTCTCAGCACCACATGGCAGCTCACAACCATCTGTGACCCCGGTTCAGTGATCTGTGCCTTCTTCTGGCCTCCATGAGCAGTGAACACAAAAGGTGCACATAAACACGCATAATTCATAAATCTTTAAATATTTTATGCAGCACAATGAGGACTGTGTGTATACCAAATAATAGATGCTTCAAAAGCAAGTGTGAGGTCCCAGTACCCCACCTCCAAAATTGAACATTTAAACCAGAGAATTGTGTAGCATAAACAGTGAGTCCTGTCACTCTATTTCTCCACAGCCCTGCTTTCCAGAATAGTCTTTGGCAGTGCTTGTATGGTGAGCCTGTGTATCAGTGTCTATCACTTTAACAGTGGCCTAAAGCAGACGTTTTGTTTGTTTGGTTGTTTTGTTTTGTTTTGTTTTGTTGAGGGTTTCTCTGTGTAGTCCTGTCTTAGAACTCTCTGGCCTTGAACTCACAGAGATCCACTTGTCTCTGCCTCCCAAGTGCTGGGATTAAAGGTGTGGGCCGCCACCACCTAGCCAGATGCTCTTTTTAAAGATCATTTTTATTTCATATGTTTGACTGTGTTACCTACATGTACACTAGGTTGTATAGTGCCCAGAGGGCAGAAGAGGTGTTAGGTTCCTGCAGTTGGAGTTACAGATGGCTGTGACCCAGCATGTGGGTACTAGGAATTTAACCCAAATCTGATCCATTTCTTCAGCCCCAGATTTTTTTTTTAAAGAGCTAAAGTCTTGGGTTGAGTGGTATCTGGTTCATCTGTTGGTCTTATGGGATCTCAGTGCAGTGCAGCCTCTGTGGCTATTCCCAGTCAGACAGATTGATCTCTGCTGTGCAGGAACCCTGTGGGGTAGACTCCTCATCAGCCCAGAATAGTCTGAGGCCAGCCCAGGAGGTGGGCAGTAACAGTGGCCGCTGAAGGAGGAGAGATGAATGCCTGTCGTGGAGGCAGGAGCACTGTGCATGGCAGCCTTGCTGCATCTACAGCTGCCTCCTCTTTTCCAAACCATTGTGAGTTTGGATCTCAGCACCCTGGTGAAAAGCCTGCACAGCACTGGGTACTTACAATCCCAGTGCTGGGCGCAGCAGACAGGTGGACCTCGATGGCCAACTCTTTCGCTGGGTCAATGAGCTGCAGGTTAGTGAGCGGCCTTGCTCAGAAAACAAAGTGGAGTGTGACACCGAGAGGAAGCAGCTGCTGTTGACCTCTGCATTGGACACACACAGACCTTCACATAGAGAACAATACACACACAGGAAAATAAAAACACCACCTCTGACCTCCACATATGGAATAAGTAAAGTTAGGGGGAAGTAGCCCTGGGCTGGAGAGATGACCAGACGATGCTTGCCAGAGACCAGCGTCCAACTCCAAAACTCACATTGTATAGCTCACATCTGTCTGTGACTCCAGCTGTGGAGGACCCAAGACCCTCTTCCTGCTCTCTGAGGGCATCCCACACACACACATTAAATATATTTTTTAAAGGTATCGTCAGGCCAGGTGTGGTTGGTACACATCTTTGATGCCAGCTCTGTGAGTTCTAAGTCAACATGGTCTACATAGTGAGTTCTAGGTTGGCCAGGGCTACATAGAGACTCTGTCTCAAAACCAAAACAAAGCAACAATAATAAAAATGGTACCATCATGGTATCATCCTGTTTCCCCAGCATTCAAGAGACCAAGGCAGTAGGATTGTCAGGAACTGGAGACCAGCCTCTGCTACATACTGCTACATAGTGAATTCCAGGCCAGCCTGGGCTACAGAGTAAGACTTTTTTTTTCCAAATTAAAAAGAGCCCTTCTAACCTGTGTGATGTAAGTGCCTACACTTACCTTACAGGTCCAAGGTTACCTGATACGGCTGGCGAGAAGTTACACCAGGCTTGGGTTGGAGGGGCCATGGCAAGACTGAGGCTGTGACAGTTTTATAGAAGAATGTCGTGGCAGTTGCCAGGATCAATACATTGTAGTTGTCGGGATACAGACTGTGATGTGGCTCTCAAAGCCACACGTCATAGGCTAGGTCGTCTCCATGGTTCCTTGCAGGTTGGCATGCCTGCTTTTGTGCTGCTGTGAACTATATTCTGTTTTCCATTTCCCCGTGGGTGAACCCTTTCTGAAGCATGCTTGGTTGCACATAGGGCTTGCCTGCAGCTCGCGCTGGTCACATAGACACCCATCTGCTTCCCTCTGCCCTGTGACTCCGTTTGTGCACCGGGCTCCCATTCCCGTCCTGCCTCAGCTGGAGCCGACAGGCCCCACGTGAGAGGCGCACATAGGTCTTCCTCGCAGGGGTCTGCTGGGAGGTAGTACGGGATGGGACGCGCATGGTGGGTGACTGGTCCATGTTACAGCTGCTGACCCTGACTGGGGAGCGCTCTGGGGCTACCGTTCCACTGACGCTTCCCACACACGGACAGCCGACACGGGACTGCGGATGCCACCTCTAAGCCCTCTCCTGTGCTTTTGGGTGTCTTGACCACAGAGACCCTGCAGGAGTACCTGAAGGTGGTGATGGCCCTCAATTATGAGGAGAAGCCGCCTTATACTGTGCTGAGGAACAATCTAGAAGCCCTGCTGAAGGATTTGCGGGTGTCACCCTATGACCCCCTGGACCTCCAGATGGTGCCTTAGGTGGAATCCAGGTGAGGAGGTTGTAGTTTTAACTCCTAAGCCCCAACCAGGCTGTGAGGGACTGGTTGCCCCAGACCCAGCAACGGGTAGACCCTTGGCTTCCCCGTGGGCTCCTGAAATTAGTTCAAGAGGAAGCCAGACAGCTGGAACTCAGCTGGGTGATCTGTGTGACCAGAAAATTCTGAAGGCACCCAGATGTGATGGTGTATACCTGACCCACTTTTGCTGTTTGTTTGCTTGTTGGTTTGTTTGTTTGAGACAGGCTTTCATGAAACTCAGGCCATGCTCCAACTCTATGTAGCAAGGCTAGCCTTGAGCTCCTGATTCTCTTGTCCTACCTCCAGAGTGCTGGGACTGCCAGTGCCACCATGCCCACTTTGGGCATGGGGGGATGGAAGCCAGGGCCTCCCTCACCATCCTGAATCCCTTGATGCCAGTCAGGTTCACCTCACGTCGTCTTCCTGCCCAGCCCTGCCTTTGGCGGCAGGGTGACTGACTTGGAGTTGCCCCCCTGCCTCCCTGCTGCAAGTCCTCACGACTGCTTTGTCCCTCCTGGTCGTGCACCTCCACTACCTCCCAGAAGTGTGGCAGGAAGGAGGGGCTTAAACCCTGAAGTTCCTTACAACTGTGTTTATTTTCCAGAACTTCTGACTTGCAGCGTGAAATAGGACATGAAGTAGTGTGGCTCGAGGCTATCTGTTTGAGCTCCTAGAAGAATCCCTTGAATGTGCGATTCTGTCACTCCCTTAGGACGTAAGAATTAGCCTTCTCAGTGGCGGGGAGCCTGAGTCATCTCCCGCAATGTGAAACTTCCTCTCTCCCAGTTGTCGGCTGCCTGGTTGCTGGTGGCAGCAGTGGCCACTCCCTGGGGCCCTCCTGCCTTGGGCATGCCTGTGATTCCATAATAAACTGTTTCTAATCAACGCCTGGAGAGTTCAGTGTTCAGTTCTGGGAGAATCTTTGACTTAATAACTCCTGACCAGAGTGACAGTGCACACAAGAAGCCCAAGGGGCCGAGACAGTCAGCACAGCAAGAAAATGTCGGTCAAACAGTCTTCAGCTTGCTCACGCCTGCTCTTGGGAAGTCAGTCACCCACCCAGTCAGTGTTACACTTCATCTAGTCCGCATCGCACCCCAGCCTTCTGTTCGTGCGTCAGTCCATGCGTTCATCCTGCAGCTACCCATACCTTTTACCCATCTGCCTCGTGCTCTGCGCTACCAGATGGGGTTTCTTTTTCTCTGTATAGGTCTGACTGTTCTGGAACTCACTTTATAGACCAGGTGGCCTCGAACTCACGGAGACCCGCCTACCTCTGCCTCCTGAGAGCTGGGATTAAAGGTGTGTGCCACAGCTGCCCGGCCCTGCCAGTCTAGAGTCACCCCTTCCACACTTCTGCTCATCCTCAGCAACCTCGCGCCTGTACATCCAGCATCCCACCCGTTAATCCTTCAGATTTACTTGGTTAGGGACATGTGTGTCGGTATGGGTATGTGTCTGAGTGCACATACTAGCAGAGAGATCAGATCCTATGGAGTTGGCATTCCAGGCCGTTGTGATGAGCCCAGCTTGGGTGCTAGGAATCAAACTTGGGTCCTCCTCAAGAGCAGTAAGCATTCTTAACTTCTGAGCCGCCTCTTCAGCCCCCAGCCCATTCTCTGCGCTGGGGGATCTGGAGGATCATCACAATGGCAGGAGCGTGTTGCAGAGAGAACACATGGTATATAGTTAGACCACGGAACAGAGGGTCTGATGCCCTGCTGGCTCTCTCGTTTCATTTCCTCCTGGACCCTCTGCCCTTGTGTCCTGCCACCCGCATTCAGGAGAGCCTTTCTGCTTGGTGTGTAGAAGTTTCCTCCAAATCTAGTTAAGACTCAAACTGCTAAGAGAGTCTCCATAAGACACAGGAAGTAGAAAAAAGTTTAAAAAAGAAAGAAAAGAGAGGGAACAGCTGGGGATGTAGCTCAGGGTAGACCACTTGCCTAGCATGTGTGAAGTCCTAGGTTCCTTCCGTAGCACTAAAGATAAAAAAAGAAAAATGGAGAGAGGAGCGAAGAACATGAAGCAGGCTGGCTCCTTTTGCCTCTTCACGGATAAACTAATTGTACCACCTAACGTGACATTGCCATACACCTATGCGTACACCATGCCCTGTCTTCAACCCCCTTCTCTCTCTGCACTTCGCCTTCCGTGAGTCTTCATTCTAACACCTAACAGCCCATCCCTTGAGACGATGCATGTATCTGTCTCTCTGTCTGGCTTGTTTTTCTTTTTCTTTCTTTTTTTTTTTTTTTTTTTTTTTTTTGGTTTTTTTCGAGACAGGGTTTCTCTGTATTGTTTTGGAGGTTATCCTGGAACTAGCTCTGTAGACCAGCCTGGCCTCGAACTCACAGAGATCCGCCTGCCTCTGCCTCCTGAATGCTGAGATTAAAGGCGTGAGCCACCAACGCCCGGCTCTGGCTTGTTTTTCTTAACATGGTATCTTTCTGCAACAAGTATTTTCCTGCAGTGAGATTTCAATTTCATTCTTCTTGATGTTTGAATAATACTCCAGTGTGTGTGTGTGTGTGTGTGTGTGTGTTCCACTTTTTTTTTCCCAAAACAATATAGAAACCCTGTCTCGAAAAACCAAAAGTATAGTTTTGTTTTACTTTTTTTCTAAGGGTTTACTTGGGAGGGGTGAGACAGGATCTCACTATGTATTGCTGGCTGTCCTGGAACTCACTGTGTAGACCAAGCTGACCTCATAGATCACCTGCCTCTGCCTCCTGAGTGCTGGGTTGAAAGGTGGGTCCCCACACCTGGCACAATCTTGTTTTTCTTTGTCTGCATTTGTGCAGCATAGGCTGGCCTGGAACTCAGAGCAGCTCTTCTGCCTCAGCCTCCCAAGGTTCTATGTCTTGAGTTTTTGTTTCCAAGGTTCCTATTTGCCTCTTTTTCAAAACACTTATCTCAAGGCTAGAGAGAGAGAGCCCAGCAGTTAAGAATGTATACTGCTTTTGCAAGTTCAGTTCCAAGCAAGAGGTCAGGTGCCTGGCAGTCACCCGTCCTCCAACTCCAGGAGCTCTGATGCCCTTTTCTGGCATCCGTGAGCAGCACCTGCACTCACAGTGCACAGACACACATTGTTTTGGTTACTCTTCTGTTGCTGTGATAAAACACTATGATTATTGGAGTCTCTGCAACTACCATGGCCAGCAAGAGGACTGACCCACAGGAGGCAAGAAGATAGTTTGGTGCAACAAGTCTTAGTAGCCAGTGTTGGTTCAAACTTTGGAAGTCTGACCCTGAGTAGTTTATTTTAGGAATATTTAAGCACAGCACAATTTGAAGAAGTTCCTCTTGGTGATAATTAACTCATTGTACACAATAAAGCTTAAGACATGACAACATCGAAACTCTTTGGTTCTGTAGATTGGCTACATGTGACGCCTTCTATAAACTGACATGGATAAGGGTCTTAGGGGAGGATTCGGTGAGGTCTCAGCCATAGAGATACCACAAAGTTCACCATACTATTTACTATGTCTGCCTCCAGCCTTCTGGGCAGGTAACAGATTAGGCATCACTTCCTTTGAAAGGACACCCTCTATGTTTACATCCCTGGTTCTCTTAGGGCTTATCTGTGAGCACAAGGATCTCCACGCCTCCCACACATGATGAGGACAATTTATAGATGAGTTTATTTGCATTTATGGTTCTAGAGAGTTTAAGTTCACAATGGTGGGGACAGCATTGCCCCAAGCTGCAGAGCAGACATGGCATCAGGGTCAGGAAGCTGCAGGCTCACATCTTGAACCCAGATGAGCCTGGCCACTGCTGAGAGCATCACTTTGATAGCTCGATTCCTGAGTACTCTGTGGTGTTGGCTGTCATGGCCCTGAGGCTCTGGCGCCTCAGCTTTTCAAGGCAGAAGAAAGAATACTGAAGGGAAGCACCTCCCCCAGGGTGGGTGTGGCCATGTCCGTTGGCAGGTGGTCTTTTGTTCTGTCTAATGCATTGAGGAATCTCTAAGATGGAGAAAGAGAAGGGAACCAACCTTGAATAACGAAAACTTTCAGAGAGCAAAGAGAGTCAGTCTTAAACAAACATGGACATTGGACATTCCATTTTTCATGGATGCACTAGCTGAACACTCATTCTTTCACTCATTCACTGGTTTCATGGTAATAATGTTGGACTCTGTCATTGAAGGCCAATTTCATGAAATCTTCACAGACATGCACCAGGGAAACACTAGTGTCCTTACTCAGCAGACAGAGAAACAGGCTTAGGACCTAGATGCAAAGCGCACATCTCTGGCCCGTGAGGTCAAGGTTCAAGTCCAGGTCCCTCAGACTGTCAGGATAATAGTCTCCATGCCTTAGGTCTGAAGTTTTCAGACCAAATGTGGCTTGGGTGGTACTCAGGTTGGATGGTGACTGTAGGGATCCCTGCCCAAGATTTGCAGGAATGATTTGGAGACACTGGGGAGCTCTTGGCTCCACATGTTGCCAAGTAAAGAGATGAAGAGAAGGTGAGGTGCCAAAGGGAAATGAGGAGGCGAAAGGGAATTGGATGTGGAGTGTGGTCTAGGCACTGGAGCACAGGCCTGGCTGTCTTTGGAAGCAGAGTGGCCAGTAAGGAGGAGCTGGGCATGGGATGTCGCCAGCCACACTGGGCTGGTGCAGTGTCTGTGGGAACCAGGTGCAGAGTTCTCTTAGAAGCATCTTGAATCTCTGCATCATCTTAAGGGACATCGCTGTGCCCCCCCCCCAGGGTTGGTGACTTGGTGTGACTGTGGTGGGCAGCAGGGTCCTCACTCACCTTTTGGACAAGCTCCGGGTCAAAGGGCATTTTATTCCTGGTGATAGCCTATCCCCGCTCACAGGGTCACTCAACGGGGACCCTAGGGGAGGGAGTGAGAATGGGGAGACGAGAGACGAGAGAGACGGAGACAAGACAGGATTCTGATCAAGTCTTGTTTATTGAAAGTACCAACAGGGCTTAAGTGGGGG